CTCTTATGAGGCGTGAGGAGGAGGTCTAACTTTCTCAACAGAGCAGAGAAATTCAACAGAGTTATGATGGAAAAGTGAAAAGAGAAGATAAAAAGAAAGTAAAATGGATGAGGACAGACTCTCCTCACATTTCTGGCTAAGTTAAATCCCAGAACATGGTCTGAGGTCATGGTCCAGTCTGTTTTCTCTGACCTGAGCCCCTCTGCCCACTCACAGTCACTGAGCTTTGTGTGGAGTTGTGCTCTGAGGCTGGATCTGTGGTTAACCACATCTATGAGCTCTGAAAAGGTTCTTGTCACTTCACTGAAAATGTCGTGACAAAAGATTTCTTCCAGCTCGTCTCATTATGACTGAAGAAGGACTTGGGAAATTAACTCGACTCGTGTCTCTGGTATTCTCTGAACCAAAGTCCCTAATAGATGAGAGCTGGAGGCAGAGACGCTGTAAAAGCTAATGAAAATCAAACTTACATTTGCTGCAACCTGTCACAGGGGGATTCTTCACGGCTCATTTGACTAAAGAAAAATACAAAACTCCACTATATTAAATAAACTCTGAGTCTGACAGGAAGCCTCATCCACACATCTGGGGGTTTAATTCTTTTTAACTATTTGAAGGGGCTGATCATTTCTATGGAGTGTTGACTTACAGACACGACCCTCTCTCTCTGCACATGACATTTTCTAAAAGTTTCAGAGACTTTGACTCACATTTTCCAAAGTGGTGTGGTTGCAGAGGTGGAAATGCTGCCACGATGGGTTTTGTGTTCTAGCCAATGTTACATGCAAACACACAGATGTGCAGACATCTTCTGTATCCCACCTTTTTATACTCTACCTCACACTGTACCCCTTTTTACTCTTAATTGGCATTGTGTGCTTCTGTGATTTATTTGGTGTGTATACAAGCTGCACCATGGAGCTCATCTGTGACAGAGTTTAAATTTGAACATTTCTTCAACTTTAAATATTTCTGTCCATCTTGTTTGGAGTCACCCTCCTGGATTTGAGGAGGGTTTGACTCAGTTTTTTTCTGTATTAGCTCACCTGGATTTCATGGAGGATTTTTTTTATTTGGGATGCAGGAAAATTTTTGGTTAAAACTGAAGCAAAATGTTGCTCCCAACCTCTGAAATTTCTGGAAGTTATCAATCAAATATATATATTTTCAAAGATAAACACTGTAATTGTCCATCATTAATAAAATCCTGGATTAAAAAAAAATATGGTTTTATTCTTGGCCCAAGATGCACTCCTCAACTATAAAGAGCAGGCTACCCAAATCAAACTACCTCCACTGGTCTAAAAATGCTGCGATCAGATTTTACAAGAGCATCACATTCTGGTTTTGAATGTGCTGCTTTTTGCAGGTTGAAAGTGTTGAGGTGTGAAGGTTAACTTTCTATTTTAGTTGTCTGAGTGAAGTACAGAGGAACACTGTCTGATATAGTTTTCATGTTTCTGTTTAGTTCTTTAATTCTTTTCTTTTTCCAGCTCTCAGTGAGTCCACAGATGGGAATTCAGTTTCTTTCCCGCTCAGGATCAGTGAATGATTTACATTTGTTCCCAAAGCAGAAACAGAAACACAGAGGAAACTTTCATCAGTATAATCCCCTTCCTCCCTGCTCCCTGGATGACTTTTCTTACATGTTTTAAAAATCAAAGACCTTGAATTGACGCGGGGAACACAAAGGAAACCTGCTCTGTAGATAAAACGCTCATTTACTAAAGAAAACAACAGTGCTGAGCTTAACTGACCTCAAGCTTATTTAGCAGGAGTGAAATTGTCTCCGTTTGCTGTCAGAGACTGCTGCAGGCTGCAGTCACTCAGAGATAAGAGCTCCACTTCACACATCTACAAACAGGATGGATACAAAACAACACCTGCCTGTTGGGTTTTTAATGGTTTGCAAACAGCAGCAGAGAACTGAGGGCTGCAGAGAGCTGATGGGCAAGATGGAGATAAAGGATGGAGTTGGTTGAGGAAGGAAGGAGAGAGAAGAGGAAACAAGGCAAGAATTAGGATAGGAAAATAGAGATGAGCAAATAAGCATTGGGAGGGTGTGAGATAATGAGCTCTGTTTGAATATGGCAACATCAGCACATTGACTGATTGGATGGTTTATCACAAACATGCTGAAATGTGGCCCAGAGTTCTGTGCAGGATGGAGTCTCCGAGGAAACACCAATAAAACCAATAAAACCACATCATGTGTTATCAGTGAGACTCAAAAATCCCCACGGGAGATTTACATTGAGCTCTGAGAGAGAGAGAGAGAGAGAGAGAGAGAGAGAGAGAGCATGTCTGTATCACCACAGTTATTAATTTCACACTGTGTCCCATTACTCTCTCTGAATAAGTATCTGGGTTTACAGCTTGATTACAACATTTGAGCGTCTGTGTGATAAATGACTTTAAATGTGATTTAAAGGATCATTTTGACATTTCAGCCAAATAAAAACATCCCCAAATGTTGACGTTTGTGTCTGAATCCTGATCTGATCCTGATCAGTTTTCTCCCTTATTTCAGGAACTAAAGGCATGTATTTGTGTTGGGACTAACATTGGCTTTAACTCAGAGTTTGTCCAGTCTGCCTCCTCCTCTGCAAACTCTGCAGCCTGCCCTCACCCAGCTCTCTTTCGTCAGACCAGTCCCTGAGGGTCTTTGCTGCTGCTCCCCCTGCCTTGGCTTTGAATGCCTCAGGCTTTGACAGTCCTCATGCACATGTGAAGCAGGCTGCTCTCAGAACAGAGTCATACTGCCAAATATAACTTACCACATGTAAATAATGTGTTAGCCATATTAAAATGTGACTAATTTCCACCAAACAAGCTTGTACTGAACTACTTCCAGTGGCATACACATAAAAACCAGTAAATTGGTCATTTCTCCAGAGAAGCCAAACAGCTGTTTCAATTTGTTCAGAAGAACTCCTTAACACTTTCATGTGTTTGCATGTTTCTATTAATCAAACTGCTCAGTAATGTCCCCCAGCCTGGCACCAACACTTTTAAGTGTCTTGTGGTTTATTCATTTTTTGCTTTCATGGCATTAAAATGTCCTCATTGATCACAACACTTTATTCCAAAAAATATATGATTGGTTGCCAGAGAATAAAACTCTTCTAAACACAAAGCACCGATCTGTTTTCAGTTTTCAGAGAACTGCACAGAAAAAAGAGATTTGAAGTTTTTTTATGCAGCATTTTCCCCTGTGGGCCCTGTGAACTAGTCCAGTTTCCTGCTGAGCTTCATTCTCTCTGGGGACAAAATATCTTCATCTTTGTGTGTGTGTGTGCGTGCGTGCGTGCGTGCGTGTGTGTGTGTGTGCAACAACAGACTATGTGCATTCAAATGCTCCTGTATGAGTGCAAGTATATATAGAACATGGTGCAAAAATTAACAGATATTCCCATGTGGTAGGGTGGACTTCTTCCAGTGTTAGTGTGTGTTTGTGTGTATTTGTCTGTATGCTTGTGAGCACAGAATAAAGCTTCACTGGCTCTGGTAGCTGCAGTATCAGATCAAGAAATGCCCAGGAGAGTTTGGATTTGTGTGTATGCAAAAAGACGGATACCTCTGGCTTTGATCATCTTTATCTGTCAGTTGTCTGAGTGTCGGATGCTTCGCCCATACGCTGTACACACAAACATGTAGCTGTGTCCTCATGTGTTTTCCTGCAGTGTTCATCCCTTAGCTTGTTTCTGGAAGCAGAGCTCTATTTGATGGAATTGGGACATTGAGGAAGTCTGTTTTTAGCTGCACAGCTGATGAAGTCCTTTCACGCACAACGACACAATTCTGATGAAAGGCTCAGGTTGTGTTTGCTACTTTAGCATGCACACTCGACATGAGTCTCCCAGAGTCAACTGGGAGTGATCTGCAGGAAAGGAGTATTTTTACGTTGAAATGAGTGAGTAAGGCCCTGTAACAGCCTCTGAAAGGTGGGTCAGTATTTAGTAACTGCATACATGGTCGTTAACGCCACACTGCAGTATTGACAGGGCTACATCACTGAAATGATCCTCCTAAGAGAGTAACAGGATTATAAACTCCTCTTCTACTCCTGCCGTGACAAAAATGTAACTGCAGCAGTGAGCAGGTAACAAAAGACATGATGTGAATTTGGATTAGGTCCCCTCACACCGGGTTAGTCCAGGCTGGAGCCCTTCATGTCAGATCTGTCCTTCAGAGTGTCACCCCATCACACCAAGGTGTGCTGAGGTTAAAAATCTCCAGCAGAGACTTTGGCATGATTTGAAGAGGACATCTGTGTTCAGTCTGTTGCAGGAAAGCACAAAAATAAATGTTTGCACAGAGACAGCAGGTTGAAAATGGCAGCCATACTTACATACATGATCATATACAAGATAGGGCTTCATAATTAATGGATTTTGAATCGTAATCAGATTATTTGATTATGACAATGCTAATAAAATTTAAATCCTCAAGTCAATTTTCTTCTCTATCATGTCTCGCGCCTCCAGGCCACCGTAGGCTCCACCTTCCTGTGAGAGCGCTCACCAGTTCCCACACACACCAGTGTAAACAAACATGGCGTTTGCAAAAGAAGGTGATAATTTTGTGGCGAAAAGGGGAAAGAGCAAGTCAGTCGTGTGGAATTGGTATGGCTTCACAGTTTCGGATGAAGATCAAACCACTCCCCACCACAAAGTCTGTCTGAAGGCGGTATCAACCCGTCCACACAGAAACGAATTCAGGAGTAAATGCAAAAGTTTTTTGTTGTATTGGCGTTTTATCCACACGGAAATGGTGTCACTAATCTGGGGGTTAAGTTTGACTCTGATTTTAAATTTGAGAAGCAGATCAGCGGCATGGTACAAAATAGTGGTGGGCAAAACCGGTCATTTCAGTGAACCGGATCATTCCGGGTCGTTCAGTAAAAAGACCCGTTCATTTCGTTCTTTTCGGTCATTTCGGTCAATCGGTCATTTGTCAGTCCGCTCGTCGTTCCCCCCCCCCCCGCGGTCCGACGCTGTGACCGCTGCACTCTCCACTTCCCACCCCCGGTCCAACGCTGCGATCTCACTGCACTACTTGTTATATAAAATTATAGTAGGAGTAACAAAATATATAAGGTTTTTTATTATTTTGAGGTGCATTAAAAACAATAATAAAAAGTACAAAATGTCAACAGACAGTGCAAATGCGTATTAATAGTTGTCTCTCTGCCTCTGGCTGCAGCAGCAGCTGTGTGCCTTTGCGTGTGTGTGACTGTCCCGCTTGCTCCGGCTCGGCTGTCAGGCCTCGTGCGGCGGCCACTCAACTCGGTCTTTCGTTCAACTCGTTCATCCGTCTGGATCTTTCGTTCACTCGGTCTTTCGTTCAACTCGTTCATCCGTCTGGATCTTTCGTTCACTCGGTCTTTCGTTCAACTCGTTCATCGGTCTGGGTCTTTCGTTCACTCGGTCTTTCGTTCACTCGGTCTTTCGTTCAACTCGTTCATCCATCTGGATCTTTCGTTCACTCGGTCTTTCGTTCAACTCGTTCATCGGTCTGGGTCTTTCGTTCAACTCGGTCTTTCGTTCATTTGACCCGTTCTTTCAGTCAACTAGGTCTTTCGTTCATTTGACCCGTTCTTTCAGTCAACTCGGTCATTCCGGTCTTTCAGTCAGCTCAGTAGTACTGCTGCTGCTTCTCTAAGCCCCACCCACACACAGAACGAGGCGCGACGATAGGATAAGACAGGCAAGCAGTCCCTCTTCAGCCAATCAAAAGAACTGAACGGATTGAACGGGTCATTTGGGGGGGGAGAACTAGTTCATTTCGTTCATCAAAAAGAACTAGTTCTTTTGATCCGTTCGTTCAAGACCGACACACCACTAGTACAAAAAAGTTTTTATCAGTTACATCAAATAGCGAAGGTGAAGACCATTTTATCAAGACCTGATTTGGAAAAATTAATCTATGCTTTTCTCTTGATTACTGCAATTCTTTGTATGTAGGGATTAGCCAGGCTTCCCTTGCTTGCCTGCAGCTTGTGCAGAACTCTCCCAACACAGACCCGCAGCCGTGAGCACACCACCCTCATCCTGGTGTCCTTACACTGGCTCCCTGTACAGTACAGTATCAATTTTAATCTTTTAATATTAATTTTTAAAGGCCTGAACAACCTTTCTCCACCATATATCTCTGAGATGCTCCAGCCTTACTGCCCACCCTGACCCCTAAGATCAGCTGATCAGCTGACGGTCCCCAAAACAAGGCTGAAGCTCAGGGGTGACAGAGCATTTGCTGCAGCTGCTCCCAAGCTCTGGAACGAGTTGACTTTGACAATTAGACAGGCCTCCTCATTTCCTGTTTTTTAATCCCTTTTAAAAACACACTTCTACTCCTTGGCTTTTAACAGATTGTAGTGTTATTTTGTTTATCTTCATAGCGCTTGCCGTGAGCCTGCTTATTGATTTATTTTTGCATCTATGTATTCTTGCTTGCTTTATCCTGTTCTTTGCTTGTTTTATTTGTTTTTATGTTGTAATATACAGCACTTTGGCTACCCCCGTGGTTCTTTTCAAATGTGCTATAGAAATTAATTTGATTGATTGATTGATTGATTGTTGACTGTAAACAGTACTTCAGTACTTTTTGAAAATGGGTTAAAGAGTGCATAAATCCGTAAACGACTACCATTTCATCTCCATGTGGATGCCTATCTGCACCTCTGGAAACAGTCATGTGACACACACCGTAACTCTTTTATATGCGTGTCTGGCCAAAACAACCTTATACGCATGCTCTGTACTCCTCTTCTGTCTTTTGGACATTTCCTCGGCAGCATTATAGCGCCACTAACTGGCTTGGCATATGCACTACATCCTTTTCAGTGGTTATGTTTTAAGTGATGATAGAAAAACTTTTGTATTTCTAAAGGGAAGTTTGGTGAAGTCTTCACTGAATAAAAAATCAAAACCGAAAATTGAGAGATTTTTGGTTTAACTTTTGAAAAACAATTATCATTAAGAATAAGATTAAGAATAACTGGTAACACTTTATAATAACCGTAACTTATAAATGGTAAATAGACCATTTATAAATGGTAAGTATATAGTTTATTTATGTTTTATCATTACTTATAAATAGCATATAAACCATTAATAACATGTAAATTTTACAATTTTAAGGGTTTAACCCTAACCCTGACCCTAAATTTACAATTTTAAGGGTTTAACCCTAACCCTGACCCTAAATTTACAATAACCATCTAAGTCATGTTTATAGGTGGTTTATAAACCGCTAATTAATCATTTACAAAGTATTACAAACATCAGTTGCAACTTCACAATCACCATCTAAGTAATGTTTATAGATGGTTTAAAAAACAAATATTAACCATTTACAAAGTGCTACTGATACACATTTTAATCTAGATGTTTTACAACCAATATTTAAACCCTATATGAACCTTTAATGAGTAGTCAATTAATAATTAAATTTATTAATCATTGCTTGTCAATAGTAAAATAACTATTAACTTACATTAATAAACTATCCAGTTGCCATTTATATTTGGTCTATATGCTGTTTTTAAATGATGATTAAACATTAATAAACTATCTATTTACCATTTTTAATTATGGTTATTGTAAAGTGTTACTGAATAACTTTATTGATCCCCGAAGGCAAATTCTATTGTCTGTCGTCCCATTTGTTATGTCAATCTAAAAGTCATCTACTATTTACAGAAGAGTTGTACAGTCTGATGGCTGTGGGTACAAAAGATCTTCTATATCTTTCTGTCCTGCAGCAAAGAAAGAGGAGCCGTCCACCACCATTGGCCCTTTGGTCCATCAAGGTGTTGTGAGGTGGGTGATCCATGTTCTTTGGAATAGTCTACAACTTCCTCAGTGTAGATCTCTCCACCACATCCTCCACTGAGTCCAGCTTGGGTCCAACCACAGAGCCAGCCTTTTTCACCAGTTTGTTAAGACGTCTTTCATCTTTGTGTTTGATGCTTCCTCCCCAGCAGACTGCAGCGTAGAACAGAACACTTGCCACCACTGACTGATAAAACATCTGCAGCATCTTACTACAGATATCTATTGATCGGAGTCTTCTCAGGCAAAAGAGGCGGATCTGCCCCTTTCTGTAGGTGAAGTCTATATTCTTAGACCAATCCAACTTATTATCCAGATGTACACATAGGTATTTACAGTGCATCTGTTAAGTATTTATACCACTTCACTTTTTCCTCATTTTGTTGTTACAGCCTTATTCCAAAATGGATTAAATTCCTTTTTCCCTCAAAAATTCTACACGTGTGTGTTTGTGTCTGTGTGTGGGAGGAGCACAGCAGGCTGATGAGAGCTGTCAGAGCGAACTGACGCTGCTCCTATATGTTTAGCGTTTAACTGACTGAATTTTGCAACTCTGTTCGTCGTTTTCGTCTCGTCCCGTCAATGTAAACACACTTTTGTCTCGTCACATTTTAGTCATCTCCGACTTAAGTTTAACTCGTCAACGTTACGTCTTCGTCGTGGAAGAAAAAGGAAATATTTTCGTCAACGAAAACAACCAGTGTTGTTCTCGTTGACGAAAATATTTCCCTATTTTGACGCTGATGAAAATATTTGACAAAATATGACGGAAACAACACTGATAATGACAAAGCGAAAAAAAATTTTTTTTTAGAACATTTTGCAAATTTATTCAAAATAATACACTTAAATGTTACATATACATAAGTATTCACACCCTTTGCTATAAAACTCAAAATTGAGCTCAGCTGCATCCTGTTTCCACTGATCAGCCTTGAAATGTTCCTCCAACTTGATTGCAGTCCACCTGTGGCAAATTCAGCTGATTGGACATGATTTGGAAAGCCACACCTGTCTATATAAGATCCCCCAGCTGACAGAGCATGTCAGAGCACAAACCAAGCCATGAAGTCAAAAGAATTGTCTGTAGACCTCCGAAACAGGGTTGTATCGGCGCACAGATCTGGGGAAGGTTACAGAAAAATATCTGCTGCATTAAAGATCCCAAAAAGCACAGTGGTCTCCATCATTAAGAAATGGAAGACGTTTGGAACCACCAGGACTCTTCCTAAAGCTGGCCGCCCAGCCAAAATGAGCAAGCGGGGGAGAAAGGCCTTGGTCAGGGAGGTGACCAAGAACCCGATGGTCACTCTGACAGAGCTCCAGCGTTCCTCTGAGGAGATGGGAGAACCCTCCAGAAGGACCACCATCTCTGCAGCACTCCACCAGTCAGGCATTTATGGTCGAATGGCCAGACAGAAGCCACTCCTCAGTAAAAAGTACATGACAGCCCGCTTGGACTTTTCTAGAAGGCACCTGAAGGACTCACAGACCAGGAGAAACAAAATTCTCTGGTCTGATGAAATGAAGATCGAACTCTTTGGCTTGATTTCCAAGTGTCATGTCTGGAGGAAACCAGGCACCGCTCACCACTTCGCCAATACCATCCCTACAGTGAAGCATGGTGGTGGCAACATCATGCTGTGGGGATGTTTTTCAGCAGCAGGAACTGGGAGACTTGTCAGGATCGAGGGAAAATGAATACAGCTAAGTACATCCAAATCCTTGATGAAAACCTGCTCCAGAGCGCTCAAGACCTTCGACTGGGGCGACACTTCATCTTCCAGCATGACAATGACCCTAAGCACATGGCCAAGAAGACAAAGGAGTGGCTTCAGGACAAGTCTCTGAATGTCCTTGAGTGGCCCAGCCAGAGCCCAGACTTGAACCCGATTGAACATCTTTGGAAAGACCTGAAAGTAGCTGTGCACCGACGCTGCCCATCCAACCTCACTGAGCTTGAGAGGATGTGCAAGGAAGAATGGGAAAAACTCCCCAAATCCAGGTGTGCCAAGCTTGTTGCATCATACACAAGAAGACTGGAGGCTGTAATCGCTGCCAAAGGTGCTTCGACCAAGTATTGAGTAAAGGGTGTGAATACTTATGTATATGCAACATTTGAGTGTTCTTATTTTTAATAAATTTGCAAAATGTTCTAAAAAAAGTTTTTCGCTTTGTCATTATGGGGTATTTTGTGTAGAATTTTTGAGGGAAAAGGGAATTTAATTCATTTTGGAATAAGGCTGTAACATAACAAAATGTGGAAAAAGTGAAGTGGTATGAATACTTTCCGGATCCACTGTTTATGATGTCACCACTTCAATTTCCACTCCACAGGTGTTCACTGGCTGAAGAGGGGATTTGGATCTATGGAAGTCTATGACCATCTCCTTTGTCTTTTAAGTGTTGAGGAGGAGGCAGTTTTTATGACTCCAGTCACTGAAGGCTCTTATCAGATCTCTGTATTCAGCTTTTTGTCCATTTCTGATATATCAAGACTTTCAAGATGTTTATTGTCACAAGATTTATGTACAAGTACACTGCACTGTGAAAAGCTTAGGCCGGAGTGCTCCATAGAATAAAAACAATAAATAAGTAACAGTGCTATACTTTTCTAAAAGTTCAAAAACAAGTTAAAAGAGCCAGAGTCAGTACACAAGGTCATGACACCATAAAAAGTTCATTTCATAGACTTATTTAAAAGTCTTACAGCCTGTGGAAGGAAACTGTTCTTCAGTCTACTTGTACTTGCCTTGATGCTTCGGTACCTCTTCCCTGAGGGCAGCAATACAAAAAGTATGTTATAAGGGTGTGTGGGGTCCTTGATGACTTTCAGGGACTTCCTGAGGCAGCGTTCGTTGTACAGCTCCTCCAAACTGGGTAGCTGACTTCCAGTGATGTGCTCGGCTGTGCGCATCACCCTTCTTCGGGCCTTATGGTCCTTGTCTGTACATCTCCCGTACCAGCTGGTGAAGCTGCTGGTCAGCAGACTCTCAATTGTCCCTCAATAGAAAGCCTTGATGGTGTTTGGACTCAGTCCAAACTTCTTGAGATGCCTGAGTACATATAGGTGCTGCTGGGTCTTGGAGACCACCACGGATGCATGTTCTTCCCATTTCATCTTCTCATGAATGTTCACCCCCAAGTACTTAAAGGTTTCCACCCTTTCCACCACAGCCGTTGGTGACAGGGGACTGTGGGTCCCTCCCCCGCCTGAAGTCCACAATGACCTCCTTGGTCTTGGACATGTTCATGAGGAGATGGTTCTCTCTATACCATTTCTCCAGGTTGGTTACCTCCTCCCTGTAAGCTGCTTCATCATCTTCAGAGATGAGCCCCACAATAGCGGTGTCATCTGAGTATTTCTGGATGTGGCAGGACTCAGTGCTGTATTTGGAGTCTGACGTTTACAGTTTGAACAGGAATGGCGCCAGCACTGTCCCTTGTGGAGCCCCTGTACTGCATTACTACATATTACTTCATTACTTGAAAATTGTGCTCTAAAATAGCAACAGCTTTGGTATGTTTTTACCACAATAGCCAGCACCTCACCCTTGAACAAAGATTTGATGTCTGAGACTTACTTCTGTGGCAGGCAGCACCTTGCTGCTGTTGAATGCAGCTCTCCCTCCTCCTCTAACCCCTCCCTTCCCCTAATCAGGTCAGCTGCATAAAAGGCAGCAGCTCACCTGCAGTCGGCCTTCTGATCTGCTCAGAGTGCTGGTGAGTAGGGTGGCTGGTAACTTTTAATCCTTAGAGTTTTATGATTGCTTTTAACAGCATGTCTTTTTTTGTTTGTAGGTGGTAGACCTGCTGCTGTTTTGTTGCCCCCATTAACTGTAGTTATTTTTGCCTGTTTACTTTGGTTGTTTCTGCCTTTTTTTATTGGTTTCCCCCCGTTACTTGGTTTGTTTCTACCTCTAAGTTTGGTTGTTTTACCCAGTTACTCCCCCATTAGTTTGCATTCTGTTTCTTAGTTACCCTTAGTTGCTTTTCTCCTTAGTTCCCTCTAGTTTTACCAACTGGGTTCGCTGTTGTTGGTTTGTTTGTTTCTTTGGTTAATCCTTTTATTTTATTTCAGAAGTTGAGCCCACTAGTTTGGGAGGCTAGGCACCCCGGGTGAGGGCCCTCCACCTTTGCATGAGTTTGACACCGGGTCACAAGACTACACCGATTTGTTTCTTTTGTTGAAGGTTTGCAGTGTGTGTGCTGTGCGTCACTTGGTGAGTATAAGGGAGCACCCCCCTGCACTTTCCCTCTGTAGTCTGCCTCCCTTCTGGTGGCCTCAGCTTATCTTAAGTTAACTTAGTTTGGGTTTCTTTGATTTAGTTTAAGTTGGGGTTATTGTACTTTTTAACTTTTGTAGAAGAACTTGTTTTAAATTTATTATAGAAATAAAATGAACTTTCTTGCCCCTTATCTGTGTTTTGTTATGATGTTTTAACTTTATCCCTTTCTTTCCCTCCTAGGTTAAATTTCTCAGTTATATTTAAGTTTAATTTCATTTTTTTTGATCTAATAAATATTTTGAACTCTGTCTCTGCCTCTTCAGAACTTACCTGTGTTGCCTTATTCTTATTTTAGCTTCCTGTTATGGTTTTAGTTTAAAAGTACAGTTTCCTGGGGTGTAAGTCCCCAGGTGGCGTTGCTGGTTGGAGACAATATTCTCTATTTTTGAATAAAATAGCACCCCCCTTGCCACATTCTGGTGTTGCCGGCAGGATTCTGTTAAAGGCAGAGACGTGTGTATTTTTCCTTCTTTTACAACCCAGTTGGTGTAGACTTTTTTTTCTCTTCCTTTTCTATTGGTATTTTTGTGTTTTGTGGGGCAAAACAGCAGCAGGTCCGGAGGGATCCCTGTGCTGCACCCCTGGTACTCTGCTAATCTCCTCTGCTCTGCTTCCCCATGTAACGAGACAACTGCTTTCTGCTATCCACATTGAATCCACCCCTCAAAGGAATGCAGGCTCCCCTGGTTTGGACAGGAAATGGGGGAGAAACGGTTTGCACACCAAGTTCCCATTTACGACCCAGGCAACCATTTGGGAGGTGATAGTGAATCTTTAACGCTTCCCAAAAAGGACAAGTTGCTTATCAACCACACAGACCCATAAACACGGAGTCTCTCACCCTGGCTGGGAAAGATCAGAATTGACACTTCAGGATTAACCAAATGACCTAAAAGGGAAAACAAGCCAGTTATTTATTGCGGTTCCGAGTCCCTGAACCCTGTATAGTCTGCTACGAAGTTCTAGTAACTGTAAAGGATTCAGTTTATCCCTCATTCCCCCGGCAGATTAGCTACCTGTCGCGGGAGATCACTGTTTCCAGTGAGAGGTTGTTAGAGTGATTTCAGACACGATTCTTTTTCACAAATCGCCGCATTTCGTGAATTTAAGTCCGCAGTTTTGTCTGCTGTTGTAAGATCTGTCTGTGTAAACTCTTGTTACTCCCAGAGGAGTCTGGTGAAGCAATCCGCTGTTAGAGACGCAGCGTTGAATTTTCCCATTGCCACTGCGCGCGCAGCCGCAGTGAGGTGTTAACCCTTTGGTGTCCATTGGAGAGACTACTCGATCAGTGTTGAATAGGCACGCCACCCCGAGGGGTGGAGCCAATAGCTACGTCATAACGTCGCATCGCGACGTACGGAGCGGTCGAACCGCCCCCTAGAACATCGCCCTCGTGTGGTGAGCGGCAAGCACTGCAAGCCGGCTCACAGCCACGTGGCCTTTGTTTTGCTTGGACCTCATTGTAAACAGACTGCAGTCTAGCCGACTGCCACGCCTTCCTGTTGTCAAACAGATGCCATGCAGACATAGTCAGATTGAGTTGGTTGATTGAGTCTTTATTTTCTGTACTACAAATAAAACGTTGATTTACTTGATAAACAACTTTTATTTTTACTTTATACAGATAGATCACCTGCCTTATCAAGGAGAATAGCTGAATCAAATCTTTGTCATCCTGTAATCATTGTTCATTGCCTCCATCTTTCTGTGACCCTTTATAAAACACTTAAATGTGATCACAGACTTAGGGCAATAGTTAATTAATTCATTAATGTAACATTAATCAATTAATTCAATAATTCCCTAATCAACCTACGATCAGAATTTTTGTTTTATTCCTTTAGGTCAATTGAATTTGGACAATTTTACTTTGATTATCTTGTGAAGACTTGAAAGATTTAATTGCATCTACAACTGCATTGTTGATCCTGATTACTTTCAGCTTTTACCTTCCTTCCACGCTTAGCTGACAATCCGCTATTTACTTTAAAGGTTTCCCTGTACTCCTTTCTGTAAATTTTATTTGACCAAATCCGGTTTGGACTATGAGATTTGGCTGTGATTAGGTTTGATTTTGTACGTAATTCTTTTTCAGCTAAAATCCAAATTCTGTTTTAGCTTCCTTTGTTTGTTTCATTCCGGAAATAAACATCCAGCTATTTTAGCGTGAACCAGACTTTGCTTAAAGCGCTTATCTTCTGGTCCTAAATTCACAGCTTTTCTCAATTTGCTTTATAGGCACGGCTATTTTGTTAAACTCATTAACCTACCAACCTTACTAAACTTGAAGCAACATGGCAGAACGTAAGGAGGCAAGTTGGCAACTATTCAGTGAGGAGCTAAAGCATGCGCTGACAACTCTGACTCAGCCGCTGCTCCCAGGCTATGTAGACGAAGCGAATCGCACTGATAACGATGGGCTTCAAACTGTGTTGAATGAGGTGATCGATTGGGTCACACGACACCAACCTAAAGAAAAAGAGATCCCCAAAGCTTTAGCACGCTTGGCTTGTGTGATGTCTGTCCAAATTAAGAGACAAGACGAAGCCATGGGAAGGGCCCAAGAACAGATACGGGCACAAATGAAGGAAATTGATGATCTCAAAGAGGAGCTGGGAGGCACTGAAAGGGCTCTACAGCAAGCTCAAGACCGTTTGGATGAGATGCAAGCAGAGGCTCCATCCAAACATGATCAAAACCCTTCCTTAGTAACCCAAATCTCAGACTTGCATGACACCATTGAGGAAAAGGAAGCTCAGCTTTCGGACGCTAGGTCCACCATTCATGAACAATTACAGGAATTGTCAAGGGTGAAAAGCAACCTAGATCAGTCCTCAACTGATGCAAGGGACTGGAAGGCCCAGTTTGAAAGCAAAAGGGTGGCCCTCGAAGCAGAAGAGAGACATTCTGCTAATCTAAAGCAAATGCTCCTCGAGACTCAGAGGAAACTTAGTCTGGGTCAACCCCAGCAAGATCAGAGCGGGCGAAGCTCGCCAAGCAGTCAACAGACGCTTCCATTCCCTACCTTTCGACCGAGTCGTGTCCCCAGAGGACATTCAGGTCGATCAAGTCCGGATGACACCGGACGGAACTGGGGTCATACTTTGTCGCCCCTTCACCAACCAACACCTTCCGGGTATCGTTCCCTGAGTTACCAACCTCAGTCCACGCCTGCTGCTCGTCAAGCGGCATATCCCACAGACAGGGATCTGGACAAGATGGCTCGTAACATCACACGATTTGAACCCGGTCGAAAAGGTTCTGAAGACCCAAGCACCTACTTGAAAGACATCGACTTCTACTTGAGAAAGTTTCCAGGTGCTCTTGTGGATGACAAAATCTACTTGATCAAAGCTACCTCCAATCGAGAGGTTAGCAGCTTCATTGAACGACAACCGCGTCGGGTCAAGAACGACTATGACCTGCTGTGTCAGGCATTAATTGACGAGTTCTCTGACTCCCTTACACCCACTGGTTTAGCTGCTGCACTGTTAGTCAAACAGGAGAGACAGGAATCTCCCCAGTTGTACTACGGTCGCCTTCGCCAGGCTTACTTTGGTTGTCAAAATGAACCTGAAATGGAGGAAGATCTAAACTTTAAGACTTTGTTCAAAACCTCCATCCGACCACGAGTCATCATCTTGGGGTTGCTGCTTGTCCCCGAACCTTAAACAGCAGACAGCTCCGCGAACTGGCTGTAAAAGGCTTCGCTAAACAGCGACACACCCAATCCAAGAAAGCCGAACCTGGTACTGTCTTGGCTGTGGACACAAGGTCCATGGCCCTAGATCTGGAGGGCGGTGCCGTGGGTGCGCATTCAGATGCACCTCAAACTGCAACAGCCCGACCAACCCAGAATCTGAAAACTTCCCGATATCAGCCAGCTGATAAAGGTCAAAACCTGAAGCAGCCTCGGTCTGACAGTGAACAACACCAGGTCAGATTTGACGAAGATCGTCCACCCTCGTACTCTCACAGGGATGGGGCTCACCCTAGAAGGGATGACACCCATCGGCCCTACCGACCTGACAACAGGGGGTGGAGAGACCGGTCAGATCGTTATGGCCGAGAACGAAACTCAGAGCGACCTTACCCGCAGTCTCAGTCAGCACTTTCTGACGAAGAGATGGGTACAAAGGCCAAATCAGACCCTCCCCAGAAGGGTAGTGGATCTAAAGGCGGATCTAAGGGTGAATCAAAGTCCTCTGATCTGACAGAGGAAGAACGCAAACTCCTTAGACAAATAATCCGTAGAATACAGAGAAAAGGAGATAAGAAAGCAGATCTCTTCTCTGTCGCTGTCGTCCAGGATGACACTTCTGAGCCAAACATGATGCCTGTCCAGCAGACTGCAGTTCAGGGGGACGTGTGCATGTCCTTACAGGAGTCGGTGACACCCTCACCAGCTGACACTCCTGCCGATCTTGAACCTCAGGACAACACATCACAAGAAACGACATCTACCAGCGCCGTCTTGGTAGTACAGGCGAACTCCGCAGAGGAGCCAGCCGAAGAAGACTCCTCACTTATTCGGCTTGAACCACCTTTCCTCCAATTCTTGTGCAACCTCACTGAGAAGGGCATCGCACAGAAGTTTTACGTTAATGCCGTCCTTGAAAATGAACTTCAACACGAAGCACTCTTAGACACTGCTGCTGACATCACTCTGATGTCCTCCACGCTCTTTAACCGCTTGCGCAATATGGTGCAGCAGTCCAACAGGGACATCAAGCTGCAGCCCTGCGCCATGGAGATTCCGCCGTACTCCACAGACCGTACGACCTTAAAAACAATGACGATGTTGAACATCTCCATTGGACCAATGAAAATCATGCACCCCGTGTATGTGTCGCCCCTTGAGTCGATTCCTTTCCTCATCGGTCAAGACCTTTTAAAACGGTTTGAGCCCCTGATCGATTATCGACAGCTGAAAATATGGGCACAGGTCTGCAGACCATTACCCATACCAGCAACCAACAAGAATCGGGCTCAGTGTTACGCCCTGACGCGTGAACTTGCTACAAGCACACCGACAAGTGTAAGCTCACCGGAGCAACCCTACTTGACTGACGATGAGCCACAACCCTGCTCGTGGCCTTTCGATGACTCAGTCATAAAGAGGGACACATTTTTGTGCAAATTCGATGACACCAATGGACCCGACATGCCCGGGCCATTTATCACTGAAGGCATCAATTTGAATGAGAATCACGTCAACGATGTGATTTTGGCTCTTTGGGCTGACAAGTCAGCCATCAGCCGTGAACTGTACGACGCCTTATCTAGGGATGACCCAAACCTCCAGTGTGCTCGGAAAGCATTTCGCTTCCCCTTGGACTCCCTTCCTAAAGCTACCATGACTGCTGAAGGCGTCTGTGCCTTAACTGTGCGGTGGAACAAAAGGGAGATGACCCACCACTTCTTGGTCATCCCAGACCTACCACATCAGGTCTACATGGGAAGTGATATACTGGTCAGGTTGGCAGTCCAGGTCGATACCATTAACAACATACTGTGGTCCCTTACCAGTGTTAATGAGGAAACCCAGACCCCTGATGTCGACAACATCATATCAGGACAGTCGATCCCTGAAGCCTGTCAGGTAGCCAATGAACTTGACATTGTCATACCTGCAATGACCACAAATGTTCCCATTCGCTTGAATCTACAACGTGGACAAAAGCTGTCGCACACTCAAGCTTTCTTCCAGCCGTCGTTGCTCTTTCTTAAACTAGGGCTGTCTACTCAGGCAACTCCTCTTCCTGAGCTTCACTCGAGATTCACACACTTGCTTGTACAAAACACGACACCCGAAGATATCCTGATCCCTAAATCCACCCCGCTGGGTTGGTTGATCAGCACGTCGTTCCACGACTTTGAATTGAGGATTCCTGTAATAGGAAAAATGCCCCGTTCTCTGATGTCAGACCATTCGCCGGAACAGGTCTTTCATACCCTACCTTCCAGGGCTATCTCGCTCTTCCCAACTGTACCGCTGGACCACGACACCATCTGTCAGGTCGACCTCTCTGAGGACTCACAGATGATCCTGCACACAGTGCAAGTCCTAAGCGTCAGTTCAGAGCCAGAAACGGCCCATACACTTTCCGGGGTAGAACCCTCTATCTTCCCAACCGTGCAAACACCTGAGCACGATCCAGACTTCGACGCCAAAGTCGAACAGCTCGTAGCTGAGGCAGACGCCCTGAACGGCGAAGAGGAGCGTGAAAAGCTTCGCAAACTTCTGCACAAATATCGAGCCTCTTTCGCCAAAGACTCGCTTGACTGTGGCATACCCTCTATCCACTCTATCCGAATTCCGACACCACCAGATGCACCACCAACTTTTGTACGCCAATACAAAATTCCCTTAGCGTCTTATGAACCTATTCAGGAAATCATAGACGATCTTTTGGCGAAAGGGATCATTCGGCCATGTAACAGTACCTACTCAGCCCCACTCTGGCCGGTACTGAAACCAAATGGTAAATGGCGACTGACCATCGATTACCGCAAACTGAACCAACAAGTTCCCCTTTCCAGGTGGCCTATGGCTCAGCTCCAACAGGATCTGCCAAAGATCACTGACACGAGATACTTCTCCACTCTTGACGTGGCATCAGGGTTCTGGACGATACCAGTACAGGAAGCTGACCAGCACAAACTGGCGTTCACTTTTGCCAACAGGCAGTACACCTTCACCCGATGCCCTTTCGGCTATGCCAACTCGCCAGCAGAGTTCAACATCTTTCTTAACAAAGCCTGCCCAGATGCTAGTGAGAGAGGCACCCTCATATATGTCGATGACATCTTAATGAGGAGCCAAACCCTGGACATGCATCTCACTGAGATTGACCATGTCCTGAACCAGCTCACGAACGCCGGGGCAAAGATATCTCTGTCGAAATGTCAGTGGTGCAGGACCAAGGTGAACTACGTCGGTTTGCTTGTTGGTCCAACAGGGGTCGAACCACAGCTGAGTCGAATTCAAGGACTGTCAAACCTTAAAGCTCCCACGAACGTCTCAGAGCTTCGCAGCTTTTTGGGAGTATGCAACTACTCCAGACAGTTCATTGAGGACTATGCAGACTTAGCAAAACCCCTCACCAACTTACTGAAAAAGGATGTGCCATTCACTTGGGGACCGCCCCAACAACATGCCATGCAAGCTTTAAAAGACAGACTCTGTGCAGCTCCTTGTCTTGCCTACCCAGACTGCAACAGACCGTTCTATCTGGAGGTTGGTTTCTCTTGTCACTGCCTCAGTGCAGGATTATACCAGATCCATGACTCAGATAAACGAGTCGTTGCGTACGCTAGCAAAACCTTGTTGGCTCCTGAACTGAAGTTCTCGGACTGCGAAAAAGCGCTTCTCGCCACTGTGTGGGCTGTGAAGCATTTTTCCAATTATCTTTGGAGGCCAAAAGGTGATTGTGGAAACCAATCATCAACCAGTGACCTTCCTTAACAGCCAAAGAATCAGAGACGGCGTTGTAACCAACGCTCGTGTAGCATCTTGGCTTATGGCTCTTCAGAGCTTTGACATCGAGGTCCACTACGCCCAAAATTGCAAAACACCTCTCGGGATGGAACTCGCAGCGTGCCAAAGCTGCTTGACAGACAGCGCGGACACAGGGTCCCCAACCTGCGACCCCGAGCCACCTGAATTATCTTGCCACCGGTACTTCGACGACAATGTCTGCAAAGACATGATTACAGCTTACGTTGATGGTTGCTCATACCATCACGACACTGTTCTCAGAGCAGGCGTGGGTGTTGTCTGGGTCAACGACGAACCGTGTGAACCACTCAGCTTCAACCTAGGGGCCCAAACGTCCCAGTATGCTGAAGTGGCAGGCATTCTGATTGTTTTGCAACTTGCGGTGGAACACAAAATCCACGCCTTAACGATCTGTACAGATTCCAATTATGCGCGACTCAGCTTCTCATGCCATCTGCCTTTGTGGAAACGCAACGGTTTCTTGACCTCAAACAGAAAGCCGGTCAAACAAGAAGATCTGTTCCTGGCGTGCGACTTCTTGACCTCTAACCATGATCTCCAGATCTATTGGAAGAAAGTCAGGGGGCACTCTCGTATCCCTGGTCCAGACAAGATGTTTAATGACCAGGCTGACTCCTTAGCCAAGCAGGGGGCCTTAACTGGCTCAAACTGGCACTTTGAGCCCTCTGTTTTTCCCCTCCCACCCGTGACCCTGGTTTGTGCTGTCACCAGAGCCCAGTCTCGAGCTACACCTCGCCCAGCTCCCTCGGGCCCGGTCTCCGCCACTGTGGCTCCAGCTTTTTCTGACTCTGACTTGCTGGTGCTCCAACCTTCGGACCCAGCCATTGCTGCCATGACGCAGTTCCTTTCAGGACCTCCTGACTCCTCCATGGCTCCTGCCTTACTTGACTCCATCCCTGGCCTGCGCCATCTTTTCCGCGTGCGCTCTTCGCTGCGGCTCGTCAAGGGCTTTCTGGTTTATGTCTCCGATGCACTCACTTCGCCTGCCCTGGTGGTGCCTCGCAGTCACAGGGGGGTGATGTTGACATACGCCCATGACACACCGTGCGCAGGACACAGAGGAAACAAAGCCACGCTCCATGCTCTCCAACAGGTGGCCTATTGGCCACACATGCAGAAAGATGTAGCTGACTACATAAAAGGGTGCCTGGTTTGCTGCCAGTTTCAACTGGCAAACCCACTTCACCGAGCACCTCTGCAGCGCAGAGGTATCTCCTTTCCTTGGTCAGACCTCCAGATCGATTGGTCGGGTCCGCTCACTAAGTCAGCAAGAGGAAACAAATACTTCCTCACAGTTGTCTGTGCATTCACCAAATGGGTAGAATGCCTACCAGCCCCAAACGATACGGCTCAGACCACAGCCTACCTCTTGATGAACCACATCTTCTCGCGGTTCGGACTCCCAACTCGTGTCGACTCTGACAGAGGGACACATTTCACCTCAGAGGTAATGCAACAACTGTGGCAACTGTTGGGCGTCAAAGCCAACTTCCACATCAGCCACCACCCCCAGTCGTCTGGACAGGTAGAACGGACAAACCGAACAGTGGTAACCATACTGAAAAAGTATGTGTCAGCCAACCACAAGGACTGGGATGTTAAGCTTCCCTTGGTCCTGATGGCCATCAGAGCGACTCCACATGGGTCAACTGGGTTCTCACCCTTCGAGCTGATGACGGGCAGACAGATGACCCTACCTCTGCACCTGCTGTATCAGCCAGGTGAGGCCAGTATAGCAACGGCCTACACGACCCATCAGTACATGACTGACTTACACCAGCACTTGAAGGCAACTTTTGCCTTCACCCAAGAGCATTTCAGCAAAAGTGCTGAAGGACGCAAGTCCTATTATGACCAAAAAGCCTCCAAACAGGAACTCCAAGTGGGTGACAAGGTGTGGTACTACCTGTTCACCCAGCCCACTGGAGATAAAGCCCCAAAGTCTGGGAGACTGGCACGAAAGTTCCTGCCCCGCTGGGCAGGCCCGTACCTGATCACTGAAAAGCTCTCTTCTGTTGTGTACCAAATTAAGATCGCAAAGGGCAACAAAGAGCCGATCCTTAAATGGGTCCACCGCAACCAGATTAAACTTCACCACAACCCCATGGGACTTGTCGGGGCCTCCAGCGCCACCCTTGAGTCATAAACTAGAACAGTCCCAAGTTCTCCTGATTGACGTCAGGTCCCCTAGTCCTCATAGATATTGTCTACGTGAAGTTTATCCTATTTGTGCGTCTGTATTGGTGTTGAATTGTTGCCACTGAGTTGCCCTCGGGCACACTTTGGGTCACAAAGGGGGGAGGAGAAAATAAAGTGACAAGGAGCATTTGAATTCTAGATTGTCCTATACCAACTCATCCTAACTATGTCCACCCTCTTCCTCAGGATGATTTGGCTGATAGTGCTCCTGATTCTCGGCTTGGTAGCTGCTCCAGCTAGCCCTGAGATCGTAGAGCCAGGACCGGACTCTGGAATTGTGTTAAGGGATCAGCCTGGACTCCTGATAACAGACTGTCGCCTGCACACACAGAAGGTGTTTGTCAGGCTCAACCCTAAGGAAGTCCTCAAGAAAAATGTTCCGGTAACAGCTCAACTGACCAGTTGGGCCGGGACACATTGGAGTAGACAGGTCGTAAATCACGCCGAGTTGGACATTACTTACATGTTAGAGCAACTTCAGAAATTCACTGTCACTCAAACAGAGTTAAGTGGTACCAACAGGAGGTCCAAGCGTTTTATCGGAGCACTGCTCACCGCAGCCTCGGTTGTTGGCTCTCTTTTTGGTGTTGGGCTCTCCTCTGTTAACGCAATTAGCTTAGCTGCCGTCAAACGCCATGTGGGTGAGCTAGAAGCCGAAATCCCAGACATCAGGGCTCAGATAAACAGACAGCAGACACAACTGCAGACTATTGGTCAAACAGTCAAGGGCACCGTTCTGGTGGTTAACACCCACACAGAAGTCCTGAATAAGACGCTGCGTGCTGTAAATTCTTTGTTGTCGGTGGTCCAGGTCGACTATGCTCACACAATGCTATTGAATATGCTCATGTCAGACATGTTGCAAGAAATATCATCCTCAATAGACAGCTTGGCTGCAGGCCGGATTCCTCCGTACTTGGTACCTCTCTCATTGGTTCAGGATTTACTATCAACTGCAACCAGAGAGGCCACCACTCCTTTACAAGCCCACCTCGCGTATACCCTAGGTAGCGCTGTGCCGATCTACGTTAATCCAGAAGATCGAGAAATTGCTTTCCTTATTAACTTACCAATTATAGCATCAGGAAGCATCTATAGGCTAAAGGATGTAGTCAATGTCGGGTTTTGGAAAGAGGACACACACCTCCAAATTCAGACCCCACCAGTGGTCGCTTACCACGACAGCAATCCTGACCTATATCTAGCTCCTAACCTGCGTATGTGCACACGAACCACAGACATACACTACCTCTGCCCCAGTAAACCATTTGTGTGGGACAGTACTAATGGCCTCTGCGGCCTTACGCCCATGGTGGCCGACACCAAGTGCCCTACTACAGCGAGACACCGCTCACAAGTGACTGTAACGCAGGCCGAAAGAGTGGGCCACCGTTGGTTAGTTAACACCCCCAGCAAGACTGCCATTGTAAATTACGACCAGCACGATACTGCCACACACATTTCTCTACTGGATCAGACCATGTGGATTGAGGTGCCACCAAATGCCATTCTCCATATAGATGACATTGCCCTCTATTACCTCAACCCTGAGCAATTCGAAACAGAGATTGAAGTGCCAGCTTTTTTCAGCAAGCATACGCTGCAGTTAGATCCAAACACTATTTCTCAAATCCAATATGCAGGTACTCAGATCATTGACCTAACGCCTGTAGATGACGTCCTTATAGACATAAGGTCCCAAGAGAAGTCCCCGCTGCAACCTATAGTCTATGTTTGGTCCACCCCAGACACCCTACTAGCAGCCGCCATAGTGTTAGGGTATCTCCTGACCTTCGGGTTAACCTTCATCTACGTCAAACGTGGTAAAGCCCTACAGTACAAAATAGACCAGTGTGTAACTAGGTTACGACTCCGTAGACAACCGGAAACGGAACAGGGAGTTGAACAGCCAGAGGAAGACCAGGTGAGCCACATGCTGGAGGTGTAGTCAGCTTCCTGTAACCCTGCACCCATAGATTTAGTAGGCTTAACACATACAGTAGATCTAACGAAGTAGCTAGTTCTGAACGAGACGCATCACCCTCCTTGGACTAACTGCTGCTTCCACCTGGTCGTCTCATCTCGTCGTCCCAATGGCTCCTGGAGCTGCCATCGAGACGAAGGGGGGATTTGTAACGAGACAACTGCTTTCTGCTATCCACATTGAATCCACCCCTCAAAGGAATGCAGGCTCCCCTGATTTGGACAGGAAATGGGGGAGAAACGGTTTGCACACCAAGTTCCCATTTACGACCCAGGCAACCATTTGGGAGGTGATAGTGAATCTTTAACGCTTCCCAAAAAGGACAAGTTGCTTATCAACCACACAGACCCATAAACACGGAGTCTCTCACCCTGGCTGGGAAAGATCAGAATTGACACTTCAGGATTAACCCAATGACCTAAAAGGGAAAACAAGCCAGTTGGCGCCAAATCCGAAAAACCAGATACCTGCCATAAAATTCCTTGGCTTTCTTTACAGAGCAGAAGGAAGATGATGCCTGAAAATGGTTTAACTTCATGTTTAATGGACACTTCACCAGAATTTTCTGTCTGTACACCACATTCTTAATGAAATGGTCTTTTTCACAATTCTGTAACATATCCACAAGCCAAACTGTTAACTTCACAAATTTATTCCAGGTTTTTCCATGGACCAAGAGCTCCTCCTAGTGGTGATGCCTGAATATGGTTTGATCAGAGCCAAATGGCAGGAATCTAATCATGTGTATTTCTTCCCTTTTGTTTTATACGCTGCGTAGCTTAGTAAATGGTATTCCCAAGATAGGCTAGTAGTTTTAGAAGTAGTAACGTGAAACTCGTTTAGACTCAGGTTAAGAGTTTCTGAATGTATCCATACTATGTTTTGTCTACCTCACACAATTATATATATTAGTCATCTATGAAGCTTGATTGACAAGGTTATAGTGTTGTCAAATATTATTACGTATGTGTTTCGTATGCTGGATTGTGTTTCTGTTCGAATAGATAATTTGTTTTCTGTCCCTCTCTAACTTCTAAAAGTCGTAAAATCCCCTGTTTTTATCAAGAAGACGGCTGATCAAAAGTTTACTGGTTTCAATGTCATGCTTTAATGCATCTGCTCATAAGAAACAATGAAGTGAAATGTGATTGTATGTGATGTTACAAACAGTTTAATCATAGTGAGTGAGTAAATTAGATCTAGCTCGCTTTTACTATCAAGTTGAGTTAATTCGCTGCCAGTCGATGGGCTGCATTGGGGAGGTCCCCCCCTTTTCTCATCTTTGGTTCACGCCTACGGTGAATCGCTTAAAAGAGTTGAGATTTTGCCGCTCTTCAGTCTTGTTTTTCTTCAGTCTTCTTTAGTCTTGTTTTGTTTTAGTCTAGTTTGTCTTCTTCGTAGTTTTCTTTGTCTCCGTCTATAGTTCGCAATTTTCCCCGCGTTTTTATTAATTGCCTTAAGCTCAGATTTTTCTTTGAAACTTGGATGAAACATGCCCAAGTTATTTAAAGCCTCAGTAACAAGCTGCGCGCATAAGAGAACCTCAGTCTAAGTCTTTTTATTTATTTTTGTTCGCTAAGGTGACTCCTGAAGATAATATCGGCTGGCCAGCGAAATTATTTTATTAAGTTATTGGCGCGAATTAATCTGCAACCAAGCTAGTCCTGAACGCCGACCAGCATCATCTGCCGAGCTGCTTTGCCACCTGGTTCCGAGAGGCCCAGAGATCCGAAGTATCTAACGGCGCTGACACGGTCCTGAAGCTGAGATCCAGACACGGCGGAAGAACTCCCCGCCGAACCTTCAGTATCCGGTCCGGTAGCCACAGAACTTCAGCCGATCCATTCCAAGAGTGCCGCTGAGAACCGACGTCCAAAGTAGGCTAAATCCTCGAAATTGCTGTGATAAGAGCTGGGTGATGCCGTCAACCGTTCAGTAGCTTACTCTCATAAGTTATAGTTTAGTTCTCCAAATTCCTTTTTAATTTACCCTCGTAACCCCGTTAACGTAGGTTAAATTTCCCTTTATTCACTCACTATTATTAACCTCCAGTCTTAGGTTTAACTTAAACCATTCCTTCGTTTATTCATTAGATGTGCTTTGATTTGCTCATTATTTGCTCATCATTTATTGACGTTTTGTTATCATATAGCTTGTTAATAAATTGTCCATTTAATTTTAAGTTGTCGTCTTAGTGGTCTTTCAGAAAGTAGTCCCTGAATGAAGAATTCCGGCCTCAGATGAGAGACTGATTTAAATCTGTTTAAGACTGATCCAACGTTTAATTACTCAATTGAACTTTGTTTCGTCCTTTTCCCACCAGAAAGGTGGGTGGTGCCCCTTCAACGAGTGCATAAATGTCATAATTTAATTTGATTAATTTTCGACATTTATTTTGAATTTGAAATCGCTACACCCATGGAGGAGGAAATTGCTTAACTGAAGGAGCTGGTCGCCCAGCTGCAGGCGGAGAATCAACGCATGCGTCAAGAGTGGCAGTCCAGTCTTCCTGGGCCCAGCACCTCAAGCTCAACTTCATCTGGCCCCCCTACAGTTAACAATATGGTAACTGAAAGACTGGTTTACCTTCCTCGGGAGAGAAAATGTCCCATGTTTAGGGGCAGGACTGGAATTAGCATTGTTGAGTGGGTGGAAGAACGTCCATGCTTGCACCCGTGCTAGAAATATGTCCACAGTTGAGCAAGCACTTTTCCTTTTTGACCATTTAGAGGGGGAAGCCAGAGAAGAGATTAAATACAGACCGCAGCAGGAACGGGAAGATCCAAACAAGGTTTTGGCTATATTACAGGAACTGTATGGGTGTTCAAGGCCTTATGTGTCTTTGCAAGAGGAGTTTTTCTCTAGAAAACAACAAGATGGGGAAACATTGCAAGAATTTTCACATGCTTTATTGTGTCTAATGGACAAGGTTGATAAAAAGACACCAAATTTTCTTCCTAACAAAGATGTGTTACTGAGAGACCAATTTGTTGAACATGTTGTTGATTGCTCCCTTCGCAGAGAACTTAAGCAATATGTCAGAAGCCACCCTACAGCCAGCCTGATAGATGTCCGCAGTGAGGCCATTAGGTGGGAGCAGGAGGGATTGTCCACCAGTGGGAGGGGTAGAAGCCACTCTGTTGAAAACCAAAGACATTAGGCACAAACTGTTCAGCAAGGGTACCCCAATCATAGCCAGGCAGATAGCTCCTTCAATTCTGAGTTAGGTGAGCTAAAGGAAATCCTTAAAAACCAGCAAGAGCAACTGAATAAGCTAACTCAAAGTTTAGCCACCTTAAACGATGTTCAAAACACCCAACCAAATGGCCGCAGGAAAAATGTCATCTGTAGGAGGTGTCATAAGCCTGGCCACTTTGCTAGGGAGTGTGAGGAAGAGTTCCCAACCCCACAGCCTCCTGTTCATTCAATGCAGTTTCGCTCTAATGGTAGACAGCCCTCTCAGAACCAGGGAAACTTTCTCCCCCTGAACCGTTGAGCCAAAGTTCAGGTGGGGGCCCCTTAGGCTCAGACTCTGCTGCTAATAATCCTGATAACTTGGTGTCAGTCTGCCCAACCTTAGCTGTACTTATGGGGGGAGTTTCAGTTCCATGCCTGGTTGATACAGGTTCAATGGTGTCAACTATAACTGAAAGTTTCTTTGCTCAACATTTTGAACCATGGGGTCCAGACAAACTCCAGTGTTGTAATTGGTTGAAATTGAGTGCAGCTAATGGCTTGGCCATACCGCACGTTGGATACCTGGAGTTAGATGTTCAGCTTTGTGGCAGAGTCGTAGCAAAGCGAGGTGTTTTGGTGGTCAGGGATCCCCCACACAGTGAACATTCAGTTCCAGGTGTCCTTGGTATGAACATCATAAAGGAATGTTACCAGGAGTTGTTTGTACTTCATGGCCCTGCTCTGTTTAACTTACCTTCTGTGTTGCAGGCCCCTATCCAAGTTCAGCAGGCCTTTCAAAAGTGTCACCAGGCCCAAGCAGCTGCCCCTTCTGGTCATTCCAGTCGGGTCAAGGTGAAAGGTGGGAGGGTTTGTAGAGTTCCTGGGGGTTCTCTAAAAATTGTGGCAGCCACCTGCTCTCAGCATCACCTTGGGGAAGTTTTGTTTGAGCCCCTTAGCACAGGTTTGCCTGCAGGTCTGCTAGCATCCCCAGCACTTGTTCAGGTGAGTAGAGGCACAGCTTACATCCCTGTTGTAAATGTTGGAAGCCAGGATGTTGTACTGTACCCGAGAACCGTTCTTGGCACCTTGAGTAATGTTCACCTTGTAAGCTCGCCCACAGGTCTGGTAGAGGGGGAAGTAGCAGCCACAGTTTCCTCTCAGTCAGCGACCAGTTCAGTGCAGGATAAGGTTGATGCATTTGATTTAACAGCCCTTACAGAACAGGAACAAGTACAAGTCAGGTCCTTTTTGCACAAGTACAGTGGTGTCTTTTCTTCACATGAAAGTGACATAGGATGCACAAACCTCATTTCTCATGACATACCTTTAGTGGATGAGGTCCCAGTACGTCGGAGATACAGACGCATCCCCCCTTCAGAGTATGAGGCAGCAAAGGCTCACATTCACCAGCTTTTAGAGGCTCAGGTTATTAGAGAAAGTAGTAGCCCCTTTGCCTCTCCTATTGTGTTGGTGAAAAAGAAAGATGGTAGCCTCCGGTTGTGTGTGGACTACAGGCTCCTCAACAGCAAGACCCGAAAGGATGCGTTTCCTCTGCCCCGCATAGAGGAATCCCTCGACGCTCTCTCAGGTGCCCAATGGTTTTCAACCTTGGATCTAGCTGCTGGATATAATCAGGTAACAGTGACTGAAAAGGACAAAATGAAGACTGCATTTTGCACCCCATTTGGGTTGTTTGAGTGGAACCGCATGCCATTTGGGTTATGCAATGCACCAAGTACCTTCCAGAGATTAATGGAGAGAATCTTTGGAGATCAGCATTGTCAATCATTGTTACTGTACCTGGATGATGTGGTTGTGTTCTCTTCCTCTGTAGAGGAGCATGTGAAACGCTTGGATGTTGTGCTGGGTCGCCTGCAAAAGGAGAATCTCAGAGCCAAGCTGGAGAAGTGCACATTCTTCAAACCAGAGGTGAGCTACCTTGGCCATGTAATATCCAGGCATGGTGTATCTACAGACCCTGACAAAATAGAAGTGGTGTCAAAGTGGCAGCGCCCTTACCAAGTCTCGGAGCTGCGGTCTTTCATGGGATTTGCCAGCTACTACCGACGCTTTATTGAAGGTTTTGCTAAGCTGGCTGCCCCCTTGCATCACCTAGTGGCTGAGTTGACAGGAACAAAATCTAAAAGACCAACAGGAAGGAGTCTGAGTGCTGCATGGACTACAGAGTGTGAGCGGAGCTTTGAAGAACTCAAAACACGGTTAGTGACTGCTCCTGTTTTAGCCTATGCTGACTTCAACTTGCCCTTCATCTTGGAGGTTGATGCTAGTTATAGCGGGCTGGGTGCTGTCCTTTCACAAGAACAGAATGGGAAAGTTCGACCCGTAGCTTATGCCAGCCGAGGTCTCAAACCCACGGAGCATAACATGGACAATTATAGCTCCATGAAATTGGAGTTTCTGGCTTTGAAATGGGCCATGACAGAAAAATTCAGAGACTGTTAGGACAAAAGTGTATGGTGTACACGGATAACAACCCCCTCAGCCACCTATCCACAGCAAAACTAGGAGCAACAGAGCAACGCTGGGCAGCACAACTGGCTTCATTTGACTTCACCATAAAGTATCGGCCTGGTCGAATTAACAAAAATGCAGATTCCCTCTCCAGGCAGCACCCAGTCAGCAGAACTTCAGGCTGTGAACCTCATGGCCTCCCAGTTCCAGAGCAGTTGCAGCAGGCTATTGAGTCAGGCCAGGTAACAAGAGCCACTCAGGCCACCATTTCAGCATTCCCCTCTCTCACTGACTCTGATTTGTGTGCATTGCAGGAGGCTGATCCAACAATCAGTGACTTTCTTCTGTTTTGGAGCAGAGGAAGGGGCCCTAATGCAGCAGAAAGAGAGAAAGCCTCAAAGGATGTCCTGACATTGGTGAGACAATGGAGCCGTATAGAAGAGAGAAACGGCATTCTTCATCGCAGAGTCTGTCATCCCAGGGGAGAGGAGGTGTTGCAGCTGGTGCTACCACAGTCTCTAAAAAGTGAGGTTCTGCATCAATTACATCATGAACATGGACATCAAGGTGTGGACCGCACAACAGATCTGGTCCACCAGCGGTGCTATTGGCCTAGAATGCACCAGGACATCAAAGAATGGTGCCAAAAGTGTGAACGCTGTCAGGTGGCAAAGCAGACTCAACCCACTGCCTGTGCATATATGGGACATTTACTGGCATCCCGGCCAAACCAGATCCTCGCCGTGGACTTCACTATCCTGGAATCATCAAAGAACGGGTTTGAGAATGTCCTTGTTATGACAGATGTTTTCTCCAAGTACACCCAGGCGGTCCCAACCCGAGACCAGCTAGCATCAACAGTGGCTAAGGTCCTCATCAATGACTGGTTCTGCAGGTTTGGTGTACCTGGGCGTATTCACTCCGACCAAGGCAGAAACTTTGAGAGCCACCTCATCCAACAACTCTGCAGCATGTATGGGATAGAGAAGAGTCACACCACCCCCTATCATCCAGCTGGTAATGGACAATGTGAACGTTTCAATCGTACACTACACAACCTCCTACGCACTTTACCAGTAACCAAGAAAAGGGATTGGGCCAGCTACCTACCTCGGGTGACCTTCTCCTACAACACCACACCACATCAATCCACCGGTGAGTCCCCATATTTTCTAATGTTTGTACAAGACCCTCACTTACCTGTAGATTTCCTTCTGGGCAGAGTACCTGAACCCACAGCTGGCAGCACTCACGCCTGGATCACAGAGCATCAAACCCGACTCCGACATGCATTTGAGGCAGCTAGACAGCATCTGGAGGCAGCAGCTGAAAAGCGTAAACAGAACTACGACCGACATGTGAAGGATGCTCCCCTACAAGAAGGCAAGCTTGTTTTCCTGAAGGATGTTGGAGCAAGGGGGCGGCACAAGATCCAAGACATCAGGGGCCCAATACTCTACAAAGTACTTAAGGCTCCAGCCGCTGGAGGATCAGTGTACACCATCGCTCCTGCTGACAACCTCGACCAAGTGAAGCATGTCCACCGCTGCCTGCTGAGAGGTAAAGTGGATAGTGTGACCGACTGCAACCCACCAGAGACCCCCCAAGTGGCTGAACCTCCTCCCCAGAATGAAGCTTCAGCAGATGGTGAATGGTTTGTTGTGATTCCTGAGGTAACCCCAGCAACAAATCAACCTTTACCAACTCAGGCCCCCTTAGCAGCTCCCACAGAAGATGCTGTACCACCACCTGCTCCTCAAGACCCTCAGCAGCAGTTGGAGGAGACAAACCCTATAGCTCACAGTGGAGCATCCCAGCGCAGGACCCCTCGCACAAATGCTGGCCAACACCCGAACCCACATCACCTCCCTCAGGCAGCACAGAGTAGGGCAATAGGGGCTACGAACTCTCACACTCCCGGGCATACTGCCTTTGTCTTTAGGCCATGGCAGTAAGAGTAAATCGTCGGGTCGCCGATTCAAAACGCAGGGGCAGATTGTGGCAGGCAGCACCTTGCTGCTGTTGAATGCAGCTCTCCCTCCTCCTCTAACCCCTCCCTTCCCCTAATCAGGTCAGCTGCATAAAAGGCAGCAGCTCACCTGCAGTCGGCCTTCTGATCTGCTCAGAGTGCTGGTGAGTAGGGTGGCTGGTAACTTTTAATCCTTAGAGTTTTATGATTGCTTTTAACAGCATGTCTTTTTTTGTTTGTAGGTGGTAGACCTGCTGCTGTTTTGTTGCCCCCATTAACTGTAGTTATTTTTGCCTGTTTACTTTGGTTGTTTCTGCCTTTTTTTATTGGTTTCCCCCCCTTACTTGGTTTGTTTCTACCTCTAAGTTTGGTTGTTTTACCCAGTTACTCCCCCATTAGTTTGCATTCTGTTTCTTAGTTACCCTTAGTTGCTTTTCTCCTTAGTTCCCTCTAGTTTTACCAACTGGGTTCGCTGTTGTTGGTTTGTTTGTTTCTTTGGTTAATCCTTTTATTTTATTTCAGAAGTTGAGCCCACTAGTTTGGGAGGCTAGGCACCCCGGGTGAGGGCCCTCCACCTTTGCATGAGTTTGACACCGGGTCACAAGACTACACCGATTTGTTTCTTTTGTTGAAGGTTTGCAGTGTGTGTGCTGTGCTTCACTTGGTGAGTATAAGGGAGCACCCCCCTGCACTTTCCCTCTGTAGTCTGCCTCCCTTCTGGTGGCCTCAGCTTATCTTAAGTTAACTTAGTTTGGGTTTCTTTGATTTAGTTTAAGTTGGGGTTATTGTACTTTTTAACTTTTGTAGAAGGCCTTGTTTTAAATTTATTATAGAAATAAAATTAACTTTCTTGCCCCTTATCTGTGTTTTGTTATGTTGTTTTAATTTAATCCCTTTCTTTCCCTTCTAGGTTAAATTTCTCAGTTATATTTAAGTTTAATTTCATTTTTTTTGATCTAATAAACATTTTGAAATATTTTGAACTCTGTCTCTGCCTCTTCAGAACTTACCTGTGTTGCCTTATTCTTATTTTAGCTTCCTGTTATGGTTTTAGTTTAAAAGTACAGTTTCCTGGGGTGCAAGTCCCCAGGTGGCGTTGCTGGTTGGAGACAATATTCTCTATTTTTGAACAAAATAGCACCCCCCTTGCCACACTTCATTATGTAATATGCTCCAAAGTTTATATAATGCAGAAAGCACACTACTTAAATTTAGATCTAAATTTCAAAGCATCAACAGTGTAAGAGTTAGGCTAGTGGAGACACAACTTTCATTAATAGCGTTTCATTAACAGTGAAAACTGTTGTCTTGGTTAGCTGTTTTTTTTTTCCCGTTCAAATCACTCCCTTACCGGTATTCTAGTTACTTCAGTATTGTACCTTACAAGCACACTTTCTGTCTGTCGGCTAACCTCACAAGAAAGTGCAGGTGTGTCAACACACAGTAACAGCAAGTCAACGAAGCGGGAACCCCAGGCTAGCATCTCCTGCTCTGCTAACATGGCTAACTAACTACCAAACAGTTAACAGCCAGCCTTACACCTAATGCTAGTCAAAGTGTTTGCTACACTTCGCTATCTGCTCCACTCACGGCTGTCTTGCTTTGTCCTTATGTATTTCTCTTTATTTCGCTTTCTTTTCCCACTCCCTGATAAGTGGCTCCACTTTATGGCCGATTTTGACATTACTTTGACTGACACACTTCAGTAAAGATGGACAAAGGTCATGAAGCAGTGTGACAGGGATGACACGGGGCCCCTTTAGTGGGGGTATCTGTCTAAGATGTCATTGCAATCTGACCACTGGTTGTTTAATGGGGTTGCAATATTTTAGGAAATTTTGTGGAATAAGATCTGCCAGCCCTTAGGGGCCCCCTAGTGGCCTGGGGCCCCAAGCAAATGCCTACTTTGCCTGTTGACAAGCTCCAGCTGTGGCCATGGCTCTGTAGTTCAAAGCCTCGTCCTCTGGTTCCTGTGACAAAAAAATGCTAAGGGCTTTCCAAAGTCCCTCGTTCTTTTAAAAAGTTCCTGTGGTCAGAATGTTGCTAGAGCATGAAAGAAGAACACCAGTGAGAAAGTATAGAAGTTCTTCAAAAATACAAGATCCATGAAAGATTGAGGGGAACACCGAGGAGGAGGCAGAGGTGATACCAGACAGTAAGTCAGAATCAAAGTAAGGAGGGATGTTGTAGAGCTGAGGAGAGGGAGTGACAAGAAGAGGTTGGAAGTGTGCCTGCAGTGAGAGTGTGGACAGGATGTTCAGATTCAGAGGAAGATGTGACGATGAAGGGGGGGAGAAGAAAATCCCCTGACTCAGCTCTCAGCCTCAAGTAAGAGCCAAAAAAAGAACAGAGGAGAAAACAAAGGGAGTGAAAGTGAAAAGGGAGGGAGGAAGGCGATCTGTGCTGCTGATAACTTCAGAGGAGGGCAGATACCTCCAGACTCCAACTCAGATCCAGATCCTCCTCAGTGATAAGTCAGAGCAGTGACTCATACTTGGAGGACACTTCACTGCCCACATCCTGGCTTCTTTTCTTTGTTAAGAGATGAGATGAGATGAGATTCAATTTATTGTCAATGTACAGTACAAGTACAATGGCAGAAACCGTTTGAATTTGGCAAAGAACTGAGCTGAAAACATCCTACAAGTCTTGTCATTCATCAGGGCCCACCGTTGTTTGTAGTTCTTGAACAAATGTACAACGTTTCTTTCTTTGGCTGCAGCTTTGAGGATCTGAACGTTTTTTCAAACCTCCTGAATCACTATCCCAACTCTCAGATCAGCTTCATTGAAGGAGCACCCATGCTGCATGCAGACTGTTTTAATACCATCTAAAGGAGTCATTTGTTTGTTTTCTCTTCATCAAAACTGACATCGAGGAAGCGTGGTAATCAAAGCAAGGTGACAGAGGAGCACCAAGACCCACTGTGGAAGATGGCAGTATTAGATAGAGGTGTAGCTCAGAGATCTAGGGGCAGGTGGAGGGATGCCGGCTGTCCCAGCAGGGATGAGAGGCTCCCTGCAGCTGGTGCTGGTGCAGCAGTTTGATCATTTGTTTGTTGCTCACATTGTCTTTAATTTCTTGTTGTTCAGAGAAGCTTTGACAAAGGAATTAAGATTCCACCTTTCTCTGCTGTCTGCTGATTTTGAACATCTCAAGAGGAAAATAGAAGGAGACTACTAACCTGGACTGCAGGTTTAAGTGATTCTGCATCACACTTCCATGGAGGGACTTTGTCATAGTGACAGAAAATTTCCAGTCAGTGAAGAGGCCACAAACATCAGCACTCCTCTACTCTCTCCAAAAGACACTTTCACAAACACACTTAGTCAATATGTGTCGGTCTCCCAGGGGACGGGCCTGTTCATTGATGAATTATTGATGTGTATTGTGAGCTGGTGGTGATGGTAACCATAGCAGCAGGAGATCTGCTCCTCTATGCAACTTTAACGGTTACTGTAACTCTGAAAAAGCTGCACACCAGCAGATGAGGGCTGAAGCTGAGGAGGATTTCTGCTTTCAGTCGAGATTTCCTCAGTCTGAATAAAATCATGAGTGTTGCCAAAGTCTCTGTGGCCTCAGTGGTTTGGTTAAAGGGATATTCCGGCATAAAATTAAGCTAGGGTCAAACCTTACGATCACCTTAACACAGAGTCAAAAAAACCTGTTGAGAGACAAATGTTGCCGACCGCTCGCTTCTCTTGTTATACCAACTTTATTTACGACCACAGATAGCAATACAAAGAGCCAAGTGCTCAACCAAAAAGCCACTCTATAGCCACAAATAATGCTCAGAACAGCACCTAACTTCATCAACAGTACATATAGGGTCCCAGCCATAGCACTAGCCACCAAACATCTTTTTAGACTTGCCTGATTTCTTTAACAAAGAGACCAAACACAACTCACCTGCTCTCTTCCAGCAGCTGCTTGTTTGTAGCGAGACCTCAGGCCAGTCCATTACACACTGCTGTGGGGGGACACAGCTCAAGGAAGAATATTTATGATCATTTCGTTATTATTTCCTTGAAGTAATAATCATCATATTAATCATTTTGCACTGCAAACGCGGTAGTTCTTCTGCCTTAGCGTCTCGGTCTGATTGCATTTTCATAAAGTAATGATCATAAATGTTCTTCCTTGAGCTGCGTCACCCTGCTGCACTCGGAAATGGACCCGCCTGAGGTCTTGCTACAAACAAGCGGCCGCTGAAGGAGAGTAGGTGAGCTGTGTATAGTCTTTTTGCTAAAGAAATAAGACAGGTCTAAAAAATGTTCAGTGGCTAGTACTATGGCTGAGACCCTATATGTACTGTTTATGAAGTTAGGTGCTGTTCTGAGCATTATTTGTGGCTATGGAGTGGCTTTTTGGTTGAGGTTTGTTTATGGCTCATCAGACCGCTTTGTATTGCTATCATGCGGTCATTACTAAAGTTGGTATAACTAGAGAAGCAAGCAGTCGGCAAGAGTCATCTGTCTAACTCGATTGACCCTACGCCGGTATATTCCTTTAAAGTTGGCCTTGAAACTTCATCAAGACTGATTAAAGTCAGTTTTTTCCACACTTTGGTGTTAAAGTACAATCAAAACTGTTTCAACTTCTCTATTTTTGGCATAATGTAAATCCTATCATCTCACATTTCAGTCTCTAAATGTCCTTCAAGTGTCCACCATTATTCCAGCTTGTCTATCCTCAGTTAAGGTCAGAAAATATAAATAAATGGATAAAAAGAAAGCAAAATAGACAGATCACATCAAACATGTTGGATTTGGTTGATTTTCAATTCATTGCATAACCTTACTTTTATTATAGTACCCCCCCCCCCCACCACCACCACACACACACACACACACACACAACACACACAAACACACACACACACACACACACACAGTTTTAGCTCCTCTTTAACTGTCTAAAATTTGCTCCAATTTATAGCTTTATTGTCAATAGCAGCACAGAGCAGAATCCCACTGTTTGCATTGTCCTGCTGTGAGACTTCTTCTGAATTATATGCAGCATTAGTTCTGCAGAAACACAATCCCAAACCATGTATGTGACTAAGTAAAAAACTCCCTAAAAAAAAGTATGTTTTTTTTTGTCTTTCTATCATATCTTATTTAACCCTTACATTTGTCTTTTAAATCTTCTTCTCCTTCTCTTTGTCAGTTTAACCCATCCTCCTACTCCTCACCCTCTTCTCTTATTTTCTGTTATCCCCCGCTCCCACCCCTTTTCTCTGTGTCTCAGTGCTATTGTCCTCTCCTTCCTTCTCCTCTGCTCTCAGGGTAGGAGATAAACCCACAGAGCGATAATCTGTGGCTAAATAGACAGCTGATCCCTTTAAAAGCCATGCTACTGAGGGGAGGAGAGTGTTTACATGGCCTCCAGCAACTCTGCTGCACTACTGGGAAATTAATTAGCCGGCCCAGCTCTCAGATGCTTCTTATTCTTCTTCTTCTTCTTCTTCTCTCTCTGCTTTTCAAGTTATCTCTCTTTTCTCCCCCAGATTTTCTCCTTCACTGAGTGTCCACTTGGTTTTAATCCAGGCATTTTTTTGCCAATTATGATGTGGCCAATTTGCAAAGTAGAGGGGAACTGGCGAATTTCAAAGCTGGGCGAAACTTCCACACAGCCTTGAAGAGGCATTTTTCCTCATCAAAAGAAATACTATGAAAAACAGTGAATGTGCTGAAATGAAACCAAACGCTGTACATTTAGTTCCACAAATACTGGAAATGGGACTTCAGGCGTGATGAAAACTTCTGGAAAAGTCAAAAAGTCTTGGTTATGAAGAAACTTCCGATTTGGTCCACTGAAGTGTCAGAAAGTTTGCGATGGTGAATGATGAAGAGCAAAGAAAAGCAAACCCAATTACTCAACATTTCTCTGAGGACATTCAATGTACATGAGTCTGATGTGCAGGAAGCTCATTTGTTCACTTTAACATCAGAAAGATAAGCAGCCTACACTACAAAGATCCTTTTATCTCTAACAGGGGTGATATGCAAAAGAAAAATCTGTTTTTAATGTATTAAAAAAAGCAGAAATAACCTAAGTGGCTGTAGTTTAAGAAAGCATTATGATTGGTTATAGGTAGTGATGGCGAGATGAAGCCTCATGGAGCATCGAAGCTTTCCATCCAATTACTCGACTCCTGGGCCGAAGTTTCATTATTGCGCTTCATTTGCTCTATTGCGCCATCAAGTGGACAATAAATGTGAAACAGGCAGAGTGATTACCAAAGACACCCGAGGCTTTGGTGCGCGAAGCTTTGAATTGCATAAATAAATGGATGTGATGCTGTGTGTTTGTAATACAATACAGAAATTATGAAGTTATTAATATGGTGTCTGTCTTTAAGACACAGTTGCAGAGTCAAAAAGGGGAAGAGGACATAAATTATGGAGAGGGTTGTGATGTGAATGTGCTTGTGTTCCTAGTTTGTTGTTCATACTTTTGTAATTGGGACAACATATAAAACATAAACATTTCATTTGTATTTATTTAAAAACAACTTTTCAACAACTTTTCTTGAATCAGTCATGTGGTACAGCCGGGCAGCGAGGCTTCGGACGTCATTGTTTTTGGCTCCACCTCTAAATGAAGCAAGCCTCGATACGTGCTTCGCGGAAACGCCCCCTGCATTACTCAACACGCTTCAAAGCCTCGGCACGAAAGGACACATCAGTAGTTATAGGGTTGATTAGATGTCTGGCTGATATGGGACAAAAGAAGCTGCCTCTCAGGTTTCAGACAAAACTTTTCTGACAGTGTCCTCAAGAAGTAAAGGTGCCTTATGTTCAAAAACTGCCTCTTCATATTTTGACTTAATGGCTTTTTCACAAACTGTCGAAAATTTTCAGTCTAGATATCTCTGATCCATCAGTCTCTTCATCTTCTGCTCAGTCTGTCCTCAGATTTCAGCTGGTTTTGAGTCAAAGAGAGTGAGGGTGTTCAATTCACACTGACCTCCGAGTATGTGTTCCATGTCTGATCATGACCCAGCCAGCTGTGTTAAGAAACATCCTAAAAACCTGATACTATATTTTAGTTAACTTTTTTAGCTCAAGGCCTGTGAGTTTAGGCTAGAGCTAGACACAGCTGTGAACCTTTAATATGATTTGTTTGGATAAAATGTTCTGGACGCACCTGGACCGAAGGGTTGTTTTGTCCTTCCAGCCAGATGTCCATCTCAGATGAAGACTTTCACTTTCTACCCCCAACAACTTGTCAGTCGGTCAAAGACTTTATGAAGGAAGGTGAGAGTTAGAGAAAGTTGATGTTTATGTAAAGTTTGTATTCAGAGGAGTGAAAAAGTCTTAGAATTAGCTCTACTGGTCAAAATGGCTAAAACTGGCTGATACAATCAAAACCCAAATTATCATATGAATAGCTGTTTTAGAGCAGAGAGAGCTGAGATCAGTTTTTAGAGTTCATTTTCTCTTTGGATGGGTTTTAGATCTGTTAAAGCCCCGTAAGTCCAAACTCAACCGATTTACGTGGGACACCAGATTCTGCTACAGTCTGATCCCAATCCAAATAAAGTTTACAGGGTTCATAAGAACTGGAGATTTGAGTTTAAAGATATGTGCTGTTAGAGAACGACGCAGCAGTTTTCTCTTTACGTCAACCCTCCTGATAAGTCAGAGAGCACATTTAGTCCTTTAAGGTTAAGAGCCTGTACATGTTCAGAGTCTGAGACAGAGGAGATGGTGGTGTAACAGCATTGGGGTTCAGTTCTCTCCTGGGGGGTATTCCAGAAAGCAGGTTCAACATACTCTGAGTCTATCCCTGAACTCTGAATTGACTTACTCTGAGATGGGGGACTCTGAGTATCCGGTTCCAGAACAGCTGATCTGAATTAGTTCAATCAACTCTGAGTATGATAACCTGGAGTTACGCGCGTGCACAACCACTATAAAAAGCCATCATCAATGGAGCCCCGATACCACGAGTCACCATGACAACTGAGAAAAAACGCTCAACTTATTTCACCCCGGTGGAGTTGGAGGTCCTTATGCTGGCCTACGGCGAGCATTAGAACATTTTTCGTCGAAAATCCAACACGGCTGCAGCAGTGAAGGAGAGAGGGACGGCATGGGAGAAAATTGCTGCGCGAGTCAATGCGTAAGTTTAAATGTAGTACTCCATTGACTTAACATATAAGATCGAAGCATAGTCTATAGTTACGAATATAAGTAGGAATGAAATCTGATTTTCATTTAGGTGCAATCCAACGGGAGAAAAAAGGACTTGGCAGCAGCTCAAAATGAAGCATAAAAACATAATTCAAAAAGGTAAGGCATATTTTGCTAGGCTGTGATTGCGCCTCACTTTGATTTTAATTTAATTTTTTTAAATGGACTTAGGCTATTAGACAGAGTCAATATTAATTTAAACTAAAATATTAATTCAGCGGCTACTTCAAATAATTATTTAAACCCCAAACAAAATGTAGTTTTTCAACGTCCTCTCACTTAATTCTACACTTTGTGGATTAACACTTGATACAAACACATTTACACTCATCGGCCACTTTATTAGGTACACCTGTCCAACTGCTCGTTAACACTTAATTTCTAATCAGCCAATCACATGGCGGCAACTTAGTGCATTTAGGCATGTAGACATGGTCAAGACAATCTCCTGCAGTTCAAACCGAGCATCAGTATGGGGAAGAAAGGTGATTTGAGTGACTTTGAACGTGGCATGGTTGTTGGTGCCAGAAGGGCTGGTCTGAGTATTTCAGAAACTGCTGATCTACTGGGATTTTCACGCACAACCATCTCTAGGGTTTACAGAGAATGGTCCGAAAAAGAAAAAATATCCAGTGAGCAGCAGTTCTGTGGGCGGAAATGCCTTGTTGATGCCAGAGGTCAGAGGAGAATGGCCAGACTGGTTCGAGCTGATAGAAAGGCAACAGTGACTCAAATAACCACCCGTTACAACCAAGGTAGGCAGAAGAGCATCTCTGAACGCACAGTACGTCGAACTTTGAGGCAGATGGGCTACAGCAGCAGAAGACCACGCCGGGTGCCACTCCTTTCAGCTAAGAACAGGAAACTGAGGCTACAATTTGCACAAGCTCATCGAAATTGGACAATAGAAGATTGGAAAAACGTTGCCTGGTCTGATGAGTCTCGATTTCTGCTGCGACATTCGGATGGTAGGGTCAGAATTTGGCGTCAACAACATGAAAGCATGGATCCATCCTGCCTTGTATCAACGGTTCAGGCTGGTGGTGGTGGTGTCATGGTGTGGGGAATATTTTCTTGGCACTCTTTGGGCCCCTTGGTACCAATTGAGCATCGTTGCAACGCCACAGCCTACCTGAGTATTGTTGCTGACCATGTCCATCCCTTTATGACCACAATGTACCCAACTTCTGATGGCTACTTTCAGCAGGATAATGCGCCATGTCATAAAGCTGGAATCATCTCAGACTGGTTTCTTGAACATGACAATGAGTTCACTGTACTCAAATGGCCTCCACAGTCACCAGATCTCAATCCAATAGAGCATCTTTGGGATGTGGTGGAACGGGAGATTCGCATCATGGATGTGCAGCCGACAAATCTGCGGCAACTGTGTGATGCCATCATGTCAATATGGACCAAGCTCTCTGAGGAATGCTTCCAGCACCTTGTTGAATCTATGCCACGAAGAATTGGGGCAGTTCTGAAGGCAAAAGGGGGTCCAACCTGTTACTAGCATGGTGTACCTAATAAAGTGGCCGGTGAGTGTATATTTTAGACCTATTGAAGTCATTTAAAATGTGATGCTTTAGCCTACACCAACACTGATCAAAATACTATTTTAAAATAAACATTGACTTCTGCTCAGCCAACAGAAAGAAGGCAGAGGCCCGAAAAACAGGTGGAGGGCCACCTCCACCACCTCTGACGGAGGCTGAGGAGCTGGCCCTCAGCCAAAACAGGGGTCGCCCTGTGGCTGAAGGCATCCCCGGGGGAAGCTCATCCGAACCTGTCACCCCCCAGGACACAAGTCCCTACATCAAATGCAAGTATACACTTATGTCTTTGAAAAAAAATAAAACTAATATATAAATATATATAGCCTACTTTTTAACAAATATATATCCACCCACCCAACAGTTGTGGATAGTGTCATCTGCCTGCTTCAGCCTCCGACAGAAACAAACCCTGTAGCTGTAAGTCTTCCATACTCAGATGCCTCAGATGGTAGTTCAAAGTATTCTGAAACAGTAAATTTTCTGCATTACAGGAGGAGGAGGAGGAGGAGGATGATGAAGAAACACTGTCTGCTGCCACAGGGAGAGATCCAGAGGGGCTTCCTGAAGTGTGTCTTAATATATAGCTACTGGCAGTGCCCATTCATTTACATTCTAAAGTGGAATTTGGAGTTTGACATGTACACTTAATAGATGAGCATAAATAATGGACAAACTAGCTCATTCTTGTCCTTCAACAGAACATGGCTGGGCATCACCAGGAGGAGGGTCCATCAACCTCAGCAGCACAGCTTGTCAAAGTGAGATTTTCGGTCAATACCATGTTAAATCTGTATGTAGAACTAAAGGAATTAAATGTCGTCCATGTTTCCCAGCTCACGGTTAAGGAGTTATACAAGGTGCACCTTGTGACAAGTATAAAAAAAAAACCAAAAGAAATGGTGTATCTGGATCGGCAGATTGCTAAAACGGAGCTGGAAATTCGATTACTGGAACGCCAGTTGAGGTGGGTGCATTGTCATGGTGAATATGTGAAATATGTTAATTGTTGGAACTACATCACAAATCCTGACTGTTGCTTTTGTACTCTTAGGGAATAAAGAAGAACCAAATCACATATGCATTTGTTTTTATTTTTTAAATCAAAAATGATTTTGGGCAATTAGGTCCCTAACTGCCCTTCCATCCTCATCAGCCGGGATGGGATGCTCAACCTCGGGGTCATTGATTTGTATGGCAGGGTGTTGCTCTCCTCAAAAAATGGCAATATTATGGAGAACAACACATGCCACAATGATGTCACATGCCCTCTCTGGGGTGACCCTGAGTTTACGCAGGCACTGGAACCGGGATTTGAGTATGCCTATAGTCATCTCAACCCGGGCTCTAGTCCTGCAGTGGGCCACATTAAAACGTTGTTGGGGCCCTGGCTCAGGGTCAGGGTAAGGGGTCAACAGAGAGGGCTGGCATGGATAGCCTCGATCCCCCAGCAGGTAGCCATCAAACTCTCCTGTAAATATAGAGGACACATTTGAGTGCATTAAAAAAGGGAGACAAAGAACATCTGTACAAAGCTTTAGCTTCTTTACCACGTGCAAATCTGTTGCTCAGACTACACTCCCGGTAGATCCGGGAATCATGCACCGAGCCAGGCCACTTGGCCTCCACATTTGTGATAATGGATGCTGCATCACATATGAGCTTTACAGTGCAGAATGACATGAGTTAGTTGTAATGTAAACGTTTTCATGTATAGTTTTTTTTAAGATGGTAGGTCACATACCTGGACATTGATGCTATGAAAGGATTTTCTATTTACATAGTCCCCTTCATTGTGAGTTGGCGCAGTGATAGGGATTTGTGTCCCGTCTATGCAGCCTATCACATTAGGAAGGCCTGCAAAATGACAGATAATTAAGCTACTGACCCCACTCTGAGGCCGCAGCAGAATGTAGGCCTATATCATAATTTAAAATAACAGAATATATGATTTCTACATCGCGTCACCTGCAATCCTGTAGAATTCCTCTTTGATGGTTTGAAGAGGTTTGTGTCCGGGGAACATCACCATCATAGGTAACAGGCGTTTCAGTGCGAGGGTTACCTTCCTCACTGCTCTGCACACTGTTGCCTTCCCATAGTGCTCTGCATCCCCGATATTGTAAAGAAAACTGCTGTTTGCAAAAAAACGTAGTGCTATGCATAAAGTTTGCTCTGATGTGAGTGCTCGTCCCCGGTGTGTGAGATTGGTGATATACGGCCGGAGAAGGTTATTTAGATAAATTATACTGTTCAAAGAAAAGCGGTAGCGTTCGAAAAGAAATTCTTCTGGAAATGATAAAACGTCTAATCTGGGTCGGAAGATTCTCTCGCGACGTAAACCGTTGCGCATTATTCTCGCTTCGATGTCGATCGGATTTTCAAGGAATGGACAATCCATGTTCAACCGCTTTCTTTGTGTGGGAGGAGACATGTAGAAACTCTGGGTCTCTTATAGTAAACCTGTCAGCGAGCAGGTTATGTTCACAGAGTAAGTTACCGCAGTAACTGACCCAGTGTTTAAGTTACCTCTCTTCCTGGAACGGATAACTCAGAGTTTCCCTCATCTCAGGGTTAACTTACTCTGAGTTTTTCACATAACCCGCTTTCTGGAATACCCCCCTGGTCTGATCACATTATTTGGATACAGCAGTCAGTGTAAATGATTGATGTGCGTTAGATGAACTCAGGTTTTATAAACTGTTGACTTTAATCTTATTTTTGCTAATGGACAAAAAAGCCAGATGAATTTTTGCTGCTCCCTGAAAATCGATCAGTGAGCACGCAGCTGCTGAGTGGAGTCTTCTGTCAGTAAACAGAAAACACAGTGAAGGAGAGCACAGCTAAAAGCACCACTGTGAGTTGTGAAACAGCTGGAGTGTCATGTTTTTCATTTACCCTCCGTTTAACCTAAGCCTCCTCCTCTCCTCCTGCATCGCTCAAACTGACCCGTTTTACCCCCTGCCCCGCCTGACTGTCAGCCACCCTGCTGCAGGATGCTCTTGTTTAGCATGTTCGCATGCTATGCTACCCCAGTTGTGGGCTTGTTGTCATGCACCGAGGCAGAACACCTCAGTACTGACAATCAGCCCTTCTGTTATTGGCAGTCTCTTTCTTTGGTTAAATAATCAAACATGTTTCTGATTGACCCTTTAAAGAAAAATGAACTGTATCAACATGGAGCTGGATTGTTGCTGCATGTGAAACAGTTCTGGTAGTTTCAAATATTGGCAAACTGTGTCTGCTTTCAGCAAGAAGGGATGCACATCAGGCAGCAGTCACCCGTCAGCAAACCGGACAGACTGAACAAAAAACGGAAATAAAATCAATCTGCTGCTTCAAAGCTGAGAATTATGAGCTGACTATTCAAACAACTTCTCCCTCTGTCAGTCAGCCCCTCTGTTGCCTGTAAACATACACAAACACACACATTCACACTATCACACACACATATACAGTGACTGAGCTGTGTTGGAGCTGAAACAGCTGGGTACCTTACGCCTTGATAACTCCTCTTCCCCATTTCCTCCTATTTGTTTTCCACACAAAACAAGGAGTGCACAAACACACAAAAGTACTAACACACGCATACACAAACACATGCACAAACACACATGCAAGCACAAAAAAACACAAACACACATGCACTAAAACACACACATGCACGTGCACAAACACAAATTTGCACATACACACATGCACAAACACACACAAACCTAAATTTGAACATACACACATGCAAAAAAAACACACACATACAGAAGCACCTAACATGCAAGCACAAAAACCCAGTACACAAACACTCACGTACACAATCACATGTGAGCAGAAAAACACACCAGCAAAAACACACATATACAAGCACACACACCAGCACAAACACGCGTACGAGCACACTCACATGCACAAACACACACAAACCTAAATTTGAACATACACACATGCAAAAAACACACACATACATAAGCACCTAACATGCAAGCACAAAAACTCAGTACACAAACACTCACAAACACACACATATGCAAACACAAAAACACGCCAGCAAAAACACACACATACAAGCACACACACATGCACAAACACACACATGTACACTGTGTGCACAATTATTAGGCAAGTTGTATTTTTGAGGATAAATTTTATTTTTGAACAACTACAGTGCTCTCAGTCAATCCGAAATGTTAATAAACCTCAAACCTTAATATTTAAGGGAGTAAAAGTGAGATTTTTACTTCCTTAGGAGAATATCTATGTGTGCACAATTATTGGGGGCAGCTATAGTGTGCAGAATTATTATGCAACTAAATTAAAAATGAAAAACTTTCCATCTCACTTGTTTATTTTCACTTGTTAAAGTGAGAATGATAAACAAACAACTCAATTTACACATAAAAATTGTTGAAATTAAAAAAAAAAAAAATCAGTGACCAATATAGCCACCCTTCTTTTCATTAACAGTTCTAAGCTTTCCATTCATGGAGTCTTTCAGTTTCTTGATCTGTTGACGATCAACTTTTTGTGTTGCAGTAACCAAAGCCTTCCAGACACTGTTCAGAGAGGTGTACTGTCTTCCTTCACTTTAAATTTCCCATTTAAGAAGGGCTCACAAGTTCTCAACAGGGTTTAGGTCAGGTGAAGAAGGAGGCCATGTCATTATTCTTTCGTTTTTAAGGCCTTTACTGGCGAGCCACATAGTGGAGTACTTTGTTGCATGCAATGGAGCATTGTCCTGCATAAAAATCATGGATTTCTTGAAAGATGCAGACTTTTGCCTGTATCACTGCTTGAAGAAAGTGTCTTCTAAAAACTGGCATTGGATTTGGGAGTTGATTTTAAGTCCATCTTTAACCCAAAAGGTCCAGCTAGCTCATCTTTAATAATACCAGCCCATACCAGTACCCCGCCTCCACCTTGCTGGTGTCTGATTCGAAGTGGAGCTCTGTGCCCATTACTGATCCAGCCACGGGTCCATCCATCTGGTCCGTCAAGAGTCACTCTCATCCCATCAGTCCATAAAACCTTTGAAAAATCTCTCTTCAGATATTTCTTGGCCCAGTCTTGACGTTTCAACTTGTGTCTTGTTCAGTGGTGGTCAGGTTTCAGCCTTCCTTACCTTGGCCATGTCTCTGAGCACTGATCATCTTGTACTTCTGGGCTCTCCAGGTAGGTTGCAGTTCTGGAATATGACAGCACCGGAGGATAAGCGATTCCTGGTAGCTTTCCGTTTGAGTCTTCTCAAATCTTTGGCAGTTAATTTGCGTCTTTTTTTCTTAACACATTTCTTGCGACCCTGTTGACTATTTGCATCAAAATGTTTGCTGATTCTGTCATCACGCCCAAATATCTAAGCAATTTCAAGAGTGCTGCATCCCTCTGCAAGACTTTTTATATTTTTTGACTTTTCGGAGTCACTTAAATCTCTTTTTTGGCCCAGTTTACCTAAGGAAAAGAAGCTGCCTAATAATTATGCACACCTCGATATAGGGTTTTGATCTCCTTAGGCCCCAGCCTCCCTCATTACACATGCGCAATAGTCACATCACAGGACCTGAAACATGTCATGCTGTCATTACTGTTATGTACGGAAGATTCATCTACCCTAGATCTCTATCTGAAGGCACTTTAATTCAGCCTTTTCATTTAAACCCACAGAAAACTAACCACCGTGCAGGTGGTGTATGAATCTGTGTCACATGACAGTAGAATGTAAACGTAGACTTGGCACAGCTCCTGTCAGTGTTATCCAGAAAACACTAGCAGTGTTGTCCCAATTGTCTCACTGCTCATTAGTGTTGACAGCACGTGTTCAGACTGAACATTTAACCCCTGAGATCCACCAGATCAATCTTTGGTTCATCTCCACTCCAGCAGTTTTCAGGAAATGTGGTAGGTTTTCTTCCACTGGCTCTGCTGTGCCACATGTATGCCCTTCTCAGCTCTGACAATCCAGCACCTTCTGCAGCAGCTGCTAGATGTTCAACTTTCACTAAATTGCACCAACAAACTGTCATAGCGAGTGGAAGTTTGCAAACCTCGTCACAGAGGTAAAACATCATTGATTCTGTATCTAACACAGCAGGATACCCTTGGTCTCATGACTACAGCTGACCACCAGTGCTGTTCCAGGCTCTGAAAATGCAACCAATGGGTGTTGACCAAGCAGCAACCTGTGCGCTTAAGGTTGGCTGCAGAAGCGCTGGAAACCATGTATGTGCTAAAAGAAAAAGCCCATTTTTAGAGACAAAGGAAGAAGTGGGTTTACTTTCAGCATCTACAGCTGCAGTGCATGTACATTATGCTGACACAAAAATCATATGCAGGAGGAGATGAGAAGTGTTCATGCAATTAGGAAAACCATTACAGGGTTTACATGCAGATTATTAGAAGCATGATTAGGTCATTCAAATGTGTGTTTTCAAGCACTCATAATAAACATTGATCTTGTTTCAAGTGCTGCATTTGTGTATATCTTCATGTATATTACGGACAGGAAAAATATTGCAATATGAGTTTCTTTTATTTACTGTTTATCCTGAAGCCTTGATTTTTTTTCAGCTGGATGACAGTGCTGTTTATTATTTTGCGCTTCTTTGCAGAGTTAAGAACTTTTTGCATCCGTGTCAACTTGTATGATAGCAATGTGCTTAAGACAAACTGCTATACACGGCATTTGAACTGACCACATCTTGAGGCAAATCTTTGTAGTCGCTCTCAAAGGAGGCAGTTGAATAAAGGGTGGAAAAGCTGGCAGTCATAATGAGAGGTGAGACATGAAAACTGGAAAACACTGAATGTTCGGATGAATCACTGCGAGGGGAATTATTCAGCAGGAGAAGTTTCAGAAGTTTCTGTGGCTGTTCAGACTTTTTCCACTTCTCAGCATAAAACTGGGTCACCTTTGAATCCACTGTAACTGTTTTGCATTCAAACTGATCACAGGCTGCTGTTTCCCATTAAGAAGATAACAACAGAAATGTTTCAAGCCTGGAGGTATTTGAAACTTTAGAGCAGGCTTTTTGGGAGGAGGAGGAGGAGGAGGAGGAGCATCACTTGAACAGACATTAACATTCAAAAAGGCTAAATGGTGCTCCTCATGAAATGAGGCGCCCCAAACTTCAGACCGTGAGTCCGCTGGAGGAAAATTCCAGGCTAAATGTCGTCAGGGAGGAGGCCTCATTACGAGCCTCTTAATATCCTCCTCCATTATCATCAGCAGCCCTCATTAGCACATAATCTGCCCAATCATTCAATTCGGATTTGTCTGATCATTAAATAAGCGACCGAACCCCTTTGCATGTCAGACTGTCTTTGTAGAGGGAACAGAGGTGCAGAGTTGGAGCTCACGCTGCGTTAAAGGGACGTCCCGGATGCATGCTTCTACTTTATCTCTTATATTTGAATGCATGCTAATTTGATGGTTTGCAGCAGAAGTATTTGAAGTTGGCTGTCTGGTGTGAAGCGCCACACTGGGCTGCAGCTCCTCAGAGAAAAGGAGCTGAAAATCAGGCACGGCTCACTGAGGTTATCAGCCTGACTGACTCCTCTTTGACATGCACAGCTCAAACTCTGGGATGTGTGAAAGTGTGAGCCGTATTTTAACCTTGAGGATGAGTATGAAATGACCTGCAGCAGAAAAATAGTCATAGAAACGAGAAGTAGTCACATCATTACAATATGTGTCACTGGGTGTGTGTGTATCCTGTATTTAGGGCAGTAAATCCTCTTGTAGCTGCGGTTGTAGCTAATGTTTATTTCATAAGTCGCTGTGGTTTCCATGAGCACAGATTAGCTGCTGTGCCGCTCAGGAGAGCGAAGGTGGTTTTTAAGGCTGTTAAACATTAAAATTTGAGGATTTCACCTGCTGCTGTGATCCAGAGTCTAACAGAGAGAGCAACAGTGGGATAAGCTGTAGGAAACACATTTACATACAAGAATAGAGTTTTATATGAAGCAACTGACAGTGAGCTCAAAAGCACACAGATGCTAATTTAATACACACAAAAGAGGAAGACGTATGTTTTCAGAGGTAAGACATGTAGAGAAACGTTGTGTAAAGGAAACATTTGTTTGGTCTTCACTTTGGTTTTGGAACAACTCCCTGCTTAAAGGCATGGTTGATGATTGGACAGACTGGTAATTATTATGAAAATCGTTTATATGGCGATCATGGTCCTATAGAGTAGTAGTGTGTTGGTTTTGAACGAACGGATCAAAAGAACTAGTTCTTTTTGGTGAACGAAATGAACTAGTTCTCCCCCCCTAAATGACCCGTTCAGTCCGTTCAGTTCTTTTGATTGGCTAAAGAGGGACTATCTCCGTGCTTGCCTGTCTTATCCTATCGTCGCGCCTCGTTCTGTGTGTGGGTGGGGCTTAGAGAAGCAGTAGCAGTACTACTGAGCTGACTGAAAGACCGAAATGACCGAGTTGACTGAAAGAACGGGTCAAATGAACGAAAGCCCGAGTTGAACGAAAGACCGAGTTGAATGAAAGACCCAGATGGATGAACGAGTTGACTGAAAGACAGAGTGAACAAAAGATCTAGACGATGAACGACTTGACTAAAAGACCGAGTGAACGAAAGATCCAGACGATGAACGAGTTGACTGAAAGACCGAGTGAACGTAAGATCCAGACGGTGAACGAGTTGACTGAAAGACCGAGTGAACGTAAGATCCAGACGGTGAACGAGTTGACTGAAAGACCGAGTGAATGAAAGACCCAGATGGATGAACGAGTTGACTGAAAGACCGAGTTGACTTGCCGCCGCACAAGGCCCGAAAGCCGAGCCCGAGCGAGCGGGACAGTCACACACACACAAAGGCACACAGCTGCTGCTGCAGCCAGAGGCAGAGATTCAACTATTAATACGCATTTGCACTGTCTGTTGACATTTTGTACTTTTTATTATTGCTTTTAATGCACCTCAAAATAATAAAAACCAGTAAAAACCTTATATATTTTGTTATTCCTACTATAATTTTATATTACAAGGAGTGCAGCGCGATCGCAGCGTTGGACCAGGGGTAGGAAGTGGGGAGTGCAGCGGTCACAGCGTCGGACCGCGGGGGGGTCGTAACGTCGGACCGGGGAGCTGAGACGCTCGCAACGTCGGATCCGGAGGGGTGTAATGCTTCAGATTTCAAGATCACATGTTGTTGCGCTGTTGAGTCTGAAGTGCAGTCAGTCCGTTCGCTCATCACGTTCGTTCAGACGCTGAACGAACGTGAACAACATGAACGAGCGGACTGACTAATGACCGATTGACCGAAATGAACGAAATGAACGGGTCTTTTTACTGAATGACCCGGAATGATCTGGTTCACTGAAATGAACAATTTTGCCCACCACTACTATAGAGCAATCTCCACAAAGTGAAGAGAAAAAGAATGGAAAAAATCTGTTCATCCTAGCAGGTACAGGTCTGCAAAAACATTGACCAATGGGAGCCATCTGTAACAGTCTGCTCTGCCCCTCTCCTGCTCTGCTGCTCAGCCACACCCCTCATCAGCTAACTGCTTCCACCTGCTGCTCTCACCTGCTCATCATCTCCAATCAGGCCAGTATATATGCAGCTTCTTTCCCCTCACTCTTTGCCAGATTGTCTTCGCTCTCATGCCTGACTCTCCAGCGTTTATCCTCGGACTGCTTACCTGGTATCGACCTGATCTGCCCCTGACCTTTGCTTCTCGCCTCAGCCCCGGTAAACCTACCTGCCTTCTGTCCTTGACTACGAGCTTTGCCTGCCTGGTTCCTGCTATTCGTCTGCCTGCAGCTGAATGTCACTCAGCCTGTTCCTGCTCTGTTGAGATCCCCCTTCTCGTCAGCTTCACCTCGCCAACTCACCTCCTCTGCCGATGTTGGTTCTGCCAGCTCCTCTGCAAGCTCTGGATCCTCACCCAGTCCTCACCTGAACCACTCTCCAAGAAATCTTCCTCCAGCTGTGAGTTGAGCGTTTTCCCCTTCACTACACTCGTAGAGCAAATTAAGACTGTGGACAATTCCCTGCTCACGAGTTCAAAACTCTTGCCTGACCTGTGGTCCACTGCTAATCTGCTCGCCTATCACCCGGAAGACCCGAGTTCGAATCCTGCCATACCCACCTGCTATAATCTGCTGCTTCATTGGATTTGGTGTTCAATAAAGACTGTTGTTAAAGTGAACCTGCTTGTTTGTGCTGCAATTGGGTCCAGTCAATACCCGTTACAGTACAATCTGGCCAAACTATGGACCCAGCACACAATCCCTCACCACTGAATCGCCTTGAGACAATTGAGGGCGTTCTGCAGCAACATGAAGCCATGATGACTGCGGCTGCCGCTGAAGCTAGACGAGCTGCTGAGACTCAGGGACAATCACTAGCAGCTTTAGCTGCACAGATGCAACAGCTAGCAGCTCAACTAACCCAGCTCCCCTCATCTGCTGGATTTGCCTCTTCTTCGGAAGCTTCACCTTCTGCTCCTGCACCTGTACCCGCCTCTTCTCTACCCAGCGATGCTCCTGATCCACGGGTGGGAACCCCAGAGCGTTATGACGGAGATCGAGAGACTTGCGGCCCCTTCCTCACCAACTGTTCTCTCCTGTTTGCCCTACAGCCCCGCACCTTCGCCACAGAACCGGCAAAGGTAGCATTTGTCATTAACCACCTGACAGGCAGAGCTAGACTATGGGGAACAGCTGAGTGGGAGAGGCGGTCTCGAGCCTGTGCTTCATTTGACCTGTTTGCTGCTGAGCTTCGGAAGGTTTTTGGGTTTGAGAATTCTGGATCTGATTCGGCAAGGGGACTGATGGGACTGAAGCAAGGCGAACGAACAGTGGCTGACTATTCCATTGATTTCCGCACCAGAGCCAGCCAAAGTGGTTGGAACAGTGCAGCTCTCCGTGATGCCTTTCTCCATGGGTTGGCAGATTACATTAAAGATGAACTGGTTTCACATGACACCTCCCTCACCTTGGACGGGGTGATTGACTTGGCCGTCCGCATTGATCTTCGTGTTCAGACTCGACAACGAGAGAAGCGTCAAGGGGGAACCCAACATACTCGTCCACTTCGCTCCCGTGGGGGTGCTGCTGCAGCCAACTCCACCCCATTGGGTCAGCAGTTTCAGGATCCAGAGCCCATGCAGTTGGGCCGCACCTCTCTCTCCCTGGAAGAGAGAGAGCGTAGACGCAAGTCCAAACTCTGCCTCTATTGTGGGGCAGCGGGACACTATATCTCCGGCTGTCCAGCAAAAGCCAGAGCTCATCCGTAGCTGGGGAGACCCTGGTGAGCTCAACTACCCTGTCACCTCCCCAAAGCCAGCGACCCCTGCTCCAAGGCCGCCTCCTCCTTCCAGACGGCCCCCACACCTTGGCTATCTTTATTGACTCCGGGGCTGATGCCAGCATCATTGACGAGGAGGTGGTCCTTCAGCTGGGGCTTGAGCGGGTTCCTTTGCCTCACCCGGTTCCTGCTCGAGCCTTAGATGGACATGTCCTGGGCACCGTCACGCATCAGACCTCTCCTGTTCATCTGCTACTGTCTGGTAATCATCATGAAACCGTCCAGTTTCACATCCTGAGCTCTTCCTGCCTGCCACTTATCCTGGGATATCCATGGCTCCGTCTTCACAATCCGCACATCGACTGGGCAACTGGGACCATCCGGGAGTGGAGTTCCTCCTGTCATCAGAGGTGCCTGCAGCAAGCCTCAGTTCCGCTTCATCCCTCCGGATGTAGCTCCAGTTCGTCACCTGACCTCAGTGGGGTGCCACCCGAGTACCATGACTTCCGCCAGGTCTTCAGTAAAGCCAGAGCCACCTCTCTGCCTCCACACCGACCCTATGACTGCGCCATTGATCTCCTGCCTGGTTCATCACCTCCCAAGGGTCGCCTATACTCCCTGTCTGAACCTGAAAGAAGGGCCATGGAGACGTACATAAATGACTCCTTGGCCGCAGGCATCATTCGTCCCTCTTCATCCCCTGCTGGAGCAGGGTTTTTCTTTGTTGAGAAGAAGGACAAGACATTGAGACCTTGCATAGATTATAGAGGACTAAATGAGATCACGGTAAAGAACCGTTACCCACTGCCACTCATCTCCAGTGCCTTTGAACTACTCCAGGGGGCCACCATTTTCTCCAAACTCGACCTACGCAACGCCTACCACCTCGTCCGCATCAGAGAAAGAAATGAATGGAAGACGGCATTCAACACCCCTACTGGACACTACGAGTACCTCGTAATGCCGTTTGGCCTCACCAATGCCCCTGCCGTCTTCCAGGCTCTGATTAATGATGTTCTGCGAGACATGATCAACCAGTATGTCTTTGTTTACCTCGATGATATACTCATCTTCTCCAGGTCCAAAGAGCAACACATTCATCATGTCCAATCCGTCCTTCAGCGCCTCTTGGAGAACTCCCTGTATGTAAAAGCAGAAAAGTGTGATTTCCATGTTCCTTCAGCATCTTTTCTGGGATACATTGTGGCTCAAGGCAGCATCCAGATGGACCCAGCCAAGGTCTCAGCTGTTACCTCCTGGCCTGTTCCGGAGAACCGCAAGCAGCTTCAGCGCTTCCTTGGGTTCGCCAACTTCTACCGTCGCTTCATCCGCAACTACAGCTCAGTAGCAGCCCCTCTCACCATTCTGACCTCCCCCAAAGTGCCCTTCCAGTGGTCCTCTGCAGCTGCAGCGGCCTTCCAGTTCCTCAAGGATCGGTTCACCTCATCGCCCATCCTCCTGATGCCTGACTCTGAACGCCAGTTTGTGGTCGAGGTAGATGCCTCTGACGTTGGGGTGGGGGCCGTCTTGTCTCAACGCTCATGCACTGACCAGAAGCTCCATCCCTGTGCCTTCTTCTCCCGACGCCTGTCCTCTGCAGAAAGGAATTACGACATTGGTAATAGGGAACTCTTGGCAGTAAAGATGGCCTTAGAAGAGTGGCGCCATTGGTTGGAGGGCACGAAGGAACCTTTTCTCGTATGGACTGACCACAAGAATCTGGAGTACATACGCTCTGCAAAGAGACTGAACTCTCGCCAGGCCCGCTGGTCCCTCTTTTTCGCCCGTTTTAACTTCACCCTCTCTTACCGTCCTGGTTCCCGCAATGTCAAGCCTGACGCCCTGTCCCGACAGTTCCAGAGGACAGAGGATTCTGTTGTTGGAGCTGAGACCATCCTACCTACTTCCTGCCTTGTAGCCCTGTTGACCTGGGACATTGAGGAGAAGGTGAAGGCAGCCACTGAAGGACAGCCGGGCCCCAGCTCCTGCCCGTCTAACTGTCTCTTTGTTCCACCAGCCTTGAGGTCGGAGGTGTTACAATGGGCCCACTCCTCCAAGCTCTCCTGCCACCCTGGGATTCAACGGACACAGCATGCCCTCCTCCGACATTTCTGGTGGCCCACTGTGCAAGAGGACGTCCGGGAATTCGTCAAGGCCTGTCCAACCTGCAGCCAACATAAGACCTCCCATCGGCCTCCTGCTGGGCTACTACAACCTCTTCCTGTTCCTCACCGCCCATGGTCTCACATATCTTTGGACTTTGTAACCGGTCTTCCCACCTCTGATGGTCACACTGTCATCCTGACAATCGTGGACCGCTTCAGCAAGATGGTCCACTTCGTGCCTCTGCCCAAGCTTCCCACTGCTAAACAGACTGCCCAGTTGGTTCTGCTCCATGTTTTCCGCCTTCATGGTCTCCCTGTTGATGTGGTGTCGGACCGCGGTCCCCAGTTTTCTTCCGTGTTTTGGAGGGAGTTCTGCAGTCTACTGGGTGCTACCGCCAGTCTGTCCTCTGGATTCCATCCTCAGACCAATGGACAGACTGAGCGCATGAATCAAGAACTGGAAACAGCCCTGCGGTGCGTGGCCTCGCAGAACCCCTCTTCTTGGGCGTCACAACTTTTGTGGGTGGAATATGCCCACAACTCCCTCGTCTGCTCTGCTATTGGCCTCTCTCCATTCCAGTGTGCTTACGGCTATCAACCACCACTTTTTCCAGCCCAGGAAAAGGAGCTCTCCTGTCCATCAGTCCAAGCCTTCATCCGTCGCTGCCGCAGAACATGGATCCAGGCTCGCTCCACCCTCCTCCGTTCCGTGGGTCGTTACACTGCCAATGCCAATCGCCGCCGTACGGCTGCACCTACCTACCAAGCGGGTCAGAAGGTGTGGCTCTCCACCCAAGACTTACCTCTCCGGGTGGAATCCAAAAAGATGGCTCCGAGGTTCATTGGGCCTTTCACCATTCAGAGGGTCATCAACCCTGTGACAGTCCGGTTGAAACTCCCACGGTCCATGAGAGTACACCCTACCTTCCATGTCTCCAAGGTTAAGCCAGTCCACAACAGCCCCTTGTTCCCTGCGGCACCACTACCTCCCCCTCCACGAATGGTCGACGGCGGTCCGGTGTATGTAGTGCGCCGCTTAATTCGTTCTCGGCAGCGAGGTAGGGGTCTCCAGTACCTTGTGGACTGGGAGGGTTACGGCCCTGAGGAGAGATCTTGGGTTCCTGCTCGCCACATTTTGGACCCCAACCTTGTGGCCAACTTTCATCGGCAACATCCTGACCAGTCAGCCAATGAGTCAGCCCGTCGAGGAACCCGCACCTTGCCCCCACCTGTCCAGGATGTGGAGGACCGTTCTGCGGGGAGGATGTCAGGTGTCAGAGAAACCCTCCTCCAGACCCCCTCCACCCACCCTGCTGAAGAGATGACAAGGTCTTGCTCCCAGGAGTTTTAGGCCCACCTCCATTCCCCCCTGCCCCCCCCCCCCCCCCCCCCAGTTTAACCTTTGGAGATGTCAGGAGCCATCCCTTGAGGGGGGGGTTCTGTAACAGTCTGCTCTGCCCCTCTCCTGCTCTGCTGCTCAGCCACACCCCTCATCAGCTAACTGCTTCCACCTGCTGCTCTCACCTGCTCATCATCTCCAATCAGGCCAGTATATATGCAGCTTCTTTCCCCTCACTCTTTGCCAGATTGTCTTCGCTCTCATGCCTGACTCTCCAGCGTTTATCCTCGGACTGCTTACCTGGTATCGACCTGATCTGCCCCTGACCTTTGCTTCTCGCCTCAGCCCCGGTAAACCTACCTGCCTTCTGTCCTTGACTACGAGCTTTGCCTGCCTGGTTCCTGCTATTCGTCTGCCTGCAGCTGAATGTCACTCAGCCTGTTCCTGCTCTGTTGAGATCCCCCTTCTCGTCAGCTTCACCTCGCCAACTCACCTCCTCTGCCGATGTTGGTTCTGCCAGCTCCTCTGCAAGCTCTGGATCCTCACCCAGTCCTCACCTGAACCACTCTCCAAGAAATCTTCCTCCAGCTGTGAGTTGAGCGTTTTCCCCTTCACTACACTCGTAGAGCAAATTAAGACTGTGGACAATTCCCTGCTCACGAGTTCAAAACTCTTGCCTGACCTGTGGTCCACTGCTAATCTGCTCGCCTATCACCCGGAAGACCCGAGTTCGAATCCTGCCATACCCACCTGCTATAATCTGCTGCTTCATTGGATTTGGTGTTCAATAAATACTGTTGTTAAAGTGAACCTGCTTGTTTGTGCTTCAATTGGGTCCAGTCAATACCCGTTACACCATCCATCCCGGACAGCTCCTGTTGGTAAATCTCCTGCTCCGCCTCTCCATCCAATCACCTCGCTGTATTCGACATACCCCTCTCTCGTAGTTCCGACTTGTCCCCTTCCACTCTCCCAGCCCTCCTCGGAGCTCTGAGCGGCTAAAAGTAGCATAGCAGCTTAGCTACAGGAACTGTGATGGAGAAGGATGCAAAAAAAATATCCACTTCTGCTTGCCCCACCGCCAAAAGTGGGAAGAAAATGCAAGCCGACAGAAGACAGGGCAGATTCAAAGAGAAAATGTGACCAAGTGAGGAATCTAACTCGACTACACATCGAGTCATCCTTCAATTGGTGGAGAAAGCTTCGTCAGGATTTGGGCCTGAAAACAGACGCCAAGACAGCAGAGGTTTTATTGAACAGGTCAATTTTATCGCCTTTTATTGTGGCACATGTTACATAAATAAATCTTATCTTATGTCCAGGCAGCTGCAGACAGTGCTCACAAGCAGAGCTGGGGCCTTATGTATCAACGCTTGCGGCGCAAGAAAACCTTGCGTACGCCAAAATCGGCGCACACATCCAGATTTATCATCGCGAAACGAACGTCGGTTCCAGCGCTAATCAACGCAAAGTCAGGAGGTGGTGTAGAAATTGGCGTTGAGCCGATACTTGCGTTGACTGTGATTCACACTTTGGCGACGCTGTGTGGCGGTGTTTGGTGACTCACTATGTGACAAGCGTGCACCACATCCCCGTGGCCGAGCAGCACGTCGCCCCACATGACGAACCAGCGGCAGACGGAGGGATGCGAGCTGATCCCTGCCGGGCAGCCGTCCTCGCGCGGGAGAATCTCATCGCCACAGTGTGAATGGGTAAGAAGTGAATACACAGTTCAATGAGCCAAATTAATTTATCTTCGCCACCAGACGCTCGAGGACATTTACGAGCCGGTCCAGCCGCTCGTTGATCTCCGCGATCCCCCTGATGATTTCTTCCTGCGATTGCAGGACCCCCTCCGCGAGGACCCTTCCACTGCGTCCGGGTGGTCCAGCGGAAGCGCCGCGGCTGGTGGACGCTCCACCGCTTGTCGGCGCGCTGGTGCTGATGCTGGTGCTGGGGCCGGGGGCCGGGGTGGCCCGAATGCCGCTGGTCCTGGCCGACGACTCCGAGCCGGCGGACGGGCTGCCGCGGGCCGGGGTTCCGCAAGCCGGCGACACGGCCGACACATTGATTTCTGTGACACAATAAAAATATTTGTTCATTTCAATTCCTGCTTCTGTGTATCTGTTGCGTTTACATCTCTCTACACGGTATCATAGGTAATGTAATCCAGTATTTAGAGGTCAGTTATGCACATTACAGTTGTTTATTGCATAAAAAGTTATCGAAAAATGAAGTTAAGGGCGAAGTATAAATCACGTCTAAAAATAGACTGAATCCCGACGTTGAAATGAAGTATAAACTTAGACTAGACGTCTAATATACGTCTTTTGCTCAGTGGGATGACAAAGCATGTGGACATTTGTGTGACACGCCACTTACCCTATAATAATAATCGCCACCACCCGCTGCTCAAACGGTGTGAGGGTCTCCTCCCCCGGACCCCCACCTGTCTGGCCAGTACTCCTCCGGAGGGCAGCTGTACGCCGCTTGACCTCCACCTTGAGGTCCGACCACTTTTTTTTAATCTTCGCGGGGGTGCGTGTCTCGGAACCCACCGCGTTCACCCTCTCGCAAACTTTCTCCCACTTTCGTTTTGCACTGACGCCACTGGACAGGCTGCCAAACAAAACACGCTGTCGCTCCTCCACCTCCGCCACCAGCACCTCCACCTCGCACGCCGTAAATTTAGTTTTTCTTGTCATTTTGTCTGCGTGCGAGGACAGGGAGACCCCATTTAAATAAATCTGCATATTTATAGGAGGGCGTAACGGGGACGGGCCCAGTCACTCCGACATCTGCGCTCAATTCCACGCTGATTGGGATTTATCAAGGAAACACACGTGGATTTCGGCGCCCGCACACATTGATACATACGGATTTTTTTCAGCGTGACGGACCTTGCGTGCGCTCGTTTCTGGTATGAGTTCCACGCAAGTATTGATACATAAGGCCCCTGGTGTTTACTGCCGCTAGTCACTAGCAATCCGACATGGTGAATCCTATTTGAAGCTAGTGTAGGATCTTCTGCCGGCCGGCCTCTTGCTCTGCCAGAGGGAGTGTGTTGTGGGGAGGGCGATACAAGTTCGAGGGGGGGGAGTTACCGTGGAGCACAGAGGGGAGAGGTTTGTGTGTGGGGAGTGGGAACGCTTTTTTCAAATCTGCCTCATCGGCTCAGTTCTTTTCAACTGCTACTCAGATCGTCAACCATGTCTTTACGGATAGAAATTGTGAAGTGTATTATGGCATTATATCAGCATGTGACTCAATGGTGCAAAGAGGAAATCTGTTGGTAGGATGTGCAAACAGGAACATGCTTTTCATGGGAGCAAAAATGTCAGTAATGAACAAACATGTGCAGAGACAGCACAGTTACCTTCGGCTTAATGGTCCAAAGTTATAGCCACACTGTTAATCCCTTACCTTAACATCTCTACCTCTTAACAAATCCACTTATTCTCCTTCTCAAGATAAAAGGCATGTTTTGTTGTACTTCAGTAAAACTTTTACACAAGATAATTCAAATCCATGTTGAATTTTGGTTTTACACCATACACAAACTCCAGCCTTCATGGTTATTTGGTTCCACCCATTCTTGGCCCAGTCTCTCCCAACATTCTTATTCTGCAGTGCTTTGCTCTGCATCTGTATTAATAATGTCACTGTGGGGCTCCACAAGCTCCTCTGCTCCTGGTAAAATATGATACTAGTCGTTTAACAGGCTGAGAGAACCAGAACAAGCTGAATTAAAAAGTCACTTTTTGCTGATGCTGCTGAAAAAGAAAACTATTTACAGAAGAAAAACATAAATGCAGTTTTAATTTTCCACTCATTCAGAATTAAAGCATTAAACGCACAGTCTTACATCATTAAAATATCCTTCACTTGCAATTTGGTGTGCAGTTTGAGTTGAAAAGACCCACTCTGATGGGCTTTGTGATGATAAATATTTCATCATCATCACCACACTTTATATCTCCTTAGTAGCTGCAGAGGGAAAGAGCCGTAACTCTATATGATTACCGTCAGTAAACATTAACATTTAGTACTTTTCCCATTAAGCATTTAGTGTTTATGATCTCTGCCAGAGAGCCTTAAATATCCCCATGCAACCACAGATCTAAATGTTTATTTATTATTAGTCTCTTTAAAATCTCCTCCACTTGCAAAAGTTTAATCAGCAGCTGAGGCAGCAGAGTCAGCACTCCGGAAAAGAGCAACTCAAATAAATCTAATTTACTTTTGTTCATTAAAACTACAGCAACAAGTGACTGTAGAAATCACACAGATTTAATCACAGCAGCTGAAGTTGTACTGATGGGTGAGCTGGAGATTATGTAATTGCCACTTACCTGTTTCATTAAACATATCATGTTGCAAATGTTCACCCTGTCTGTCGGATCTGTATCCCTCAGAGTCAGCCCTGTCGCTGTTCTCTTTGTGCACAACACTCGATTATATCATTCAGGAGGCCATAAAGTGTCATTGCTGCTCAGTGCCCACAGGACACTGAGATTCAGTCTGAACAAAACAAGAAGAAAAAGCTTTCAGCTAGCCTTCAGACCAGAGTGAATTTTGCAGAAATGCCCTGGGGGTGCAGATAACAGATTCACCCTCCTTTCAGCTTGTTGAGTTTCTACACCTGGATGCTCTGCTTTTCTCTGCTTGATATTTTACTTTTTTAAGGTTACTCCAGGTGGAAAATACTTTGAAATATACTCTACGTCACATCACTACTGCAGCTTTTGCTGGTGCAGGAGGTCCCCTTTACTTTTAGTGGGATGAAATTAAGTCAGGATAGAATACAATGTCATTGGGCACTTAAAAAAACAGACAGACATGAATAACCTGTGTTGTAATTTGGAAAAGGTCTCCCTATCAAAAAGAGATGGCTGCCCTTCAATGATACACATCTATAATACTAGACACATGAAGTCCTGGGGTATCAAAGTCAGAGCACTTTGATTGTAAACCGTTGATGTTTGTAGCTTTTAAGTCTTTTATGGAATTTGCAGCTACTGACACTATCAGCTTGAGTTCGAAACTAAGACATGCTGTTGATTTGGAGAGAGAGATACAAGCAAAAGAGGCGCTCAGCTCTGAAACTGCAGCACACCAACTTATTAAATATGAGTGAAAATCCCTCCACCATCTTCTGAGATAACACCCTCTGTGCAGAAAGTAACTTTATGAATTCAACTTGGACTGTTTGTGTTTGAGCCTTTGGCATCTTTTTTAAACATGCATTTATTAAACAGTATAGATCAAACAATGCATCTTGCATCTGACAAACATTGGGAAATATTTGCATCTTTACAGAGCACTATAAAGGTCGCCATGGATAAGAATTCAGCGTGAACATGACAGATACATTTCAGGGTGTTTAAAGGTCAGAGTCTGAGATCCCCAAAGTTTAACATGTTCAGATGCTTCCTGTTCTGTTTTACTGGAGACACAAAATCTATCTGATGAAACAATGATGGACAGAAGATCGATTTGAAGTTTGAGCTCAAACCAAGATAATAGAACATTTTTTTTTTTTTATGATTTCATGTTTACTATGACTGTAAGAGGAAAATAAAAACTTCTGTAGGATTTTAAATGTTTTTCATCAAAAAGGTTGAATTTTTGCTACAGCAAAAAAAAAAAAGTTACAACTGGTGTATTTTTTATTTTATTTTTTTTTATCCCGATATTATTTTGGGTCCATGCAAGCTTTAAAAAAATGTAGGTTTTTATCGCAACTCCCAATTTTGCCACAGGGTGTGTGTGCAGGGTAGAGCATGACACGGGAGCAGATTTTCACTCCTTTCCCGCTCCCGTTTGAATAAAACCAAACATTAGGTAAAAGTGCACTGCATATAAAATGCATTGCCTTTAAGTTTCATATGCCTGACATTCGGTCAGTGTAAACAAAGTGCAACACACACACACACACACACACACACACACACACACACACACACACACACACACACACACACACACACACACACATATTCTCCACCTCCAACATTGCAAAAGACAATTGGGCAATTCTGCACAAAACAGGTTATCAGAGCTTAAATAATAAATATACACTATATCCACAAAAGTGGCAAATATTTACCAAAAATGTAACAAGACAGTATGAGAAGAGAAGAATAATATAGAATAGTAAATAAAATATAGACTGATAATCTTACATAGCAAATCACACAAATTTGAAAACACACTAAAGAAAATGTGATTGCTCTATGAACAGAAAACACAAACTAAAACTACAACATGACCTTTCCTGCCTTCCTTGATGCAAAATCATAAATAACGTCGTCATAAGAAATCTACTTCCCTATTTACCCACTAAGACCTGAACCCTGTCTGAGACTCTGAAATCCTGAGGGCCATTTTGAGAAGGGCCCCCAGATCCTGAGGTTTTCTTAACTGTTGAGGTTTATAAAAAAGCTGCTATCTCGGCCCCGGTAGCAGATACAAACAAATTCAAAAAGTATTTGAGAGCTTACAGGTGTGGCTTTTAGGAAAGCTATCTATTATTTTTCGGAACCTTCATCACAATTTTGAAAACATTGAAGAAACAAATTTAAATGAATTAAAGCGGCTGTATAAATAAAAGTAAAGACTCTGCACTGGAGAATAATAAACTATTTGCTTTCTGTAAAACAAGTGGCAGTCATGATAAAGTGTCCATTTAATTCAAATGTAAATATAAAAAATAAAGTGTTGAAAGGGTGCCCTAGTATAGTGCCTGTACAAAAGCAGCAATTAAAACTAGAAAATTGAATAACTAAGTACGTGGCTGAAGTGTGTTGATCTCTGTGCTCACCCAAAGTCATGCAACACTCACAGAAAACGCCGATAGTGTGAACCAAAGACCTCCATATGAAGACGTTGTTCACACTGCTGGCTGTTTCTCCTCCAAAGCTGCTCTCTGCCTCTTGAAGCACGTAGCAACATCCGAGCATGAATCTGCACGCTTTATTCGCCTACTAGAGGCGCACGGGTATGGTGATTTGATTCGCCACGACTCCAGAAATAATTAAAAAGCTACAGAATGTCACAAAATGACATATCCGCGCTCCTGGCTAGAAGGGTAGAAATACGCAGCCGCGCTCCCGGCTGACAGGAAGTCAAACCACTGTTGTAGTTCTTTTGTGTTGCTAGCACGGTCAAGAGTGTTGACTCTCACTGAGAGATGACTACAAAAATGGACGCATCTGTTCATCTGATTGTTTAACACGGCTGAAAATGATCATCTATTAATATTGTTCCCGCTCCTGCCTGCTCCCGTTGCTTTTTTTCCCCCGTCCCGTCACGATCACAGGATTAATTAAAAAATGACTCCCATCCCGTGGGATTCCTGCAGGAATCGCGTGACCCACGGGAATTCACGAAAAATGTCATCCTCTAATGCAGGGCCATGCAGTCAGACAGGCTCAATGTATGTATATTTGGCCTGAACATTTATTAATTGACAACACACACACACACACGCACACACACACACACACACACACACACACACACACACAGTCCTACCTCGCCATCAGGTAACTTTTATTCTATACTGATCCAGATAGTCCAAAAAATGTCTTCCCTTACCAGTAGGAAGACAGTTAATGGTGGTACTTTACAATCGGACACCATCAGGTCCTGTGTTCCCTGATCGGTCCCCTGTGAAGGAACACACAACATAACTGAAGTGCCCTGGTTGACATGTGTTCAAGTGTGTATGGTTTTGAACCGTTCAGTAGTTCGACTGTTGTCACTTAATAGCTCTTCTACGCACAGAGTAAAGAGGTCCTTCCTCCTGAGGGCCATCGGACTGCACAACAATGTTCTGGGTGGAGGAGCAGAGACCATGAGGGAGGACAGGGTTATAGCAGCACAACAAATACACACCTGAACGTCACCCAGAACACACTGAGCATTTTGAGAACGTCTGCCTGCTCTATTTAGCTATCGATTCATTTCAGTGTGCATGTTCAAGTTTTATTGTGATGTTTTCTATATTGTTCTTTTATAATTTAATAATTTAAAATGTACTTTTCAGTTCTCACTTTTTTTTTTCTTCTCACACAGACCCTCCCCACAAACCCAGCGTCTCCTCTGCAAACACCTCCTGTGGATGACCACTTTACAGCGCACACAGTCAAATGTGGAAATGAGTTTAAGCTTTTTGAGGATGTAGAGCGCCACCACTGGGACAGGGTTTTTATTTTTCATTTTGTTTGTTTCTGCTTTGTAAAATCACTTCCCCTCATTCTCACTGACCTTACTTTCCTCACAGGGAGGATTATCACGAGATGATGCCCCACACCCAAAGTAAATGGAGGTTTTCTTTTAGTGAGCAGAAAACGCATGACTGTGTTTGTGTTTCAGGGAAGGGAACAGCTTAATTAAAGCTCATTTTATGGTAGTACAAACTTATTAAAGCATCTCCTGTTAATTAGGAGTCATTTCCAGGTCAGGGAAGAGTGTGCTACAGTTTCAGCTGAAGTAGAGCGTCCTCAGTTTTGGGATTTCAGTCTGTGTGCACAGTCAGGTTTTCATCTTGAGCAGTAGAAGCCTGTCAAAGCAGATCTGGTTTTCCTGCAGTGTCCGATCCTCTGCCATGGAAAAGGCTGTAGGATTTCTGTTCCAACCAGCCGCTGAGTCCACTAATTAGACACCTCCTGCTTTGATTGAAGGTAATTAGAGAAACCAGATTCTGCTGTATTTACTTTTGATGAAACCCTGCAAACAGTTTGGCAGGGAAAGACTGGAGAGCAGCAGTTAAACTCTAAAGCCCAATAATCAGCGTCTGGGACATTTGATGAAAAAACAAGTCCTAGTTTAGTACATTGAAGGTTTGCTGGGACGTCATCAATTTTTTTTTTACTCATACTGAGTATTTGCAGATATTTAAGAGGTATATCACCAAAAAACATTAAAGCAGTGATTTAAGGAGTCCTCCCTCCTGCTTAGCATTTCCCCATCACCATGTTAGAGTCGGTCTGTGAGATGTGTGTCCGATATCATCTTGAAATTAACCAGAAATGTAAACCAAGCAGCAGACTGTGAATTTTTATGTCAGTATGGTGAGTGTTGGGCATATACAATCAGAAATGACATAAGCTCTGTCATCCATATGCAGGTAAGCATGAAGGTTGTAGTTGAAGTACCACCACTTCTATTAACCTGACAAACCTTGGGAGATGAGGAGGAAAGAGTTGAGTGAATGATCCTCTACTTTGACCAGATAATCATAAAACATACTGGGTTACATCTTTATATCAAAAATCCCTCTGGTGTGCAGCTGCTGTGAGTTGCGTGGCAGACACTTGAATGCATCAAAATGTCAACATATTTGTAGAAAATGGCGGCATGTCTGATTCCTTTGTGAAATTAGGGAAATAAGTTTGTACTCATGCTTGCAAGGTCACCAAAGGATCAGTTTGTAGGGTCTTGAAACTATAGTGCGTAACTTTTATCCCCCCCTAGTGGATTTCTGTGTTATTACAATGATACAGTCTGCACCTCAAAATGACGTATGCACATCATACACAGAAACACTCACCAGACACAGCATACTGTTCGTCACGGTAAACAGAGAAACACTGGCGACAAAATGTCACAGCACACAGACTCCCAGCAGTAAGTTACACACAGCAACACGGGCTACACACCTTGTAACTTAATGCTCGTTAGGCTAACGTTACACAATGTGGTGAACACCAGACTGCTAACAATCCATTACATTCATAACACCATTTCCAAGAAAATAAAGTACTCAGTCCAGTACATGTAACAGTAATATTCTGCTCCTAATGAACAGAGTCATTCACTTATCCAGCAGTATCAAGGCAACATCAGTGTCGGACCTCAGTCCAATCTCCTCCTTAAGGGCTCTCCATCAAGGAAAAGCGACGCCGATGTAAATCCACGTTAGTCTTTGTCACTCTGTTTCTTCACCAACAGACCGTCTCCTGAAAGGGAGGGCTTTTTTTATTTTATTTTATTTTATTTTTAGTAGGATTCACATCTGAACCTCTTGGTTGCTTCTTTGGGTTCTCTGCCATGTTGCGACTAGCAGCGCTCTCCTCTCCACTCCCATCTCGTAGTCAGGTAAAACCAAGTAGAACGCGTCATTTCCTCTGCGCCAGTGTGGGAATGTTGATGTCGATGCCCCTGACACCAAATACAAAATGAACAAATACTAAAAAATACTGCCAGGTGTTACGCCCCAGTCTAGGGGTGCCTAGGGCACAACATGAAAAGGCCTCATCATCCCCAAGTCCCAAGTAGCCACAACAACCGAGATCCAGTTAAAGTTAAAGATAGAGATTTATTTACATAATTCAGGGAATAACAAAAGATAGACAAAAGAACTAAGGCTGGATAACTAGACTTCAGGGTGGACCAAGGCCAAAACAACAACCAAAAATAATCCTGTCTGAGTAGTAAGTCCTTCCCTAACCAAAACAAAGGAAACAAATGACAAAAGACTTACCTCCCTAACTAAAATACACAGGAGAAAATAATGTTAACAAAACTGGCAGTCCACCCCTACTACTGAAGGAAAACAGAACACAATACACCATAGTCTTTAAGCTGCAAAATAGGGTGGCCGGTTGGGAGAGGAGGAGGATGAGGAACGCCTGGCCTCTGCACATGGTGGCTGCCATCTTGGTTCTTGATATAGTTGGTCTCGGCCAATCACCATACAGGGCGTAGTCCATCCCACCAATGACCGCGTTGCTGTGGCACACACCTATTTGCATACAAGATTGACGCAGAGAAAACACAGAGCACACACACACCCAGCAGACACTCAACCAATTATGACCCCAGTCATAACACCCCCACACCCAAGAATTAAACATCCCCCTAAATGTTTAATTTCTACGGATCTGAGGAACACCGCGACAAAGCGTCTGCTATTACATTTTCTATGAGGAGTTTCACGCACGGCAAATAACAGAAGAACGAGACCCTCATCCCACTCTCTGTAGGACTCAAGGCAGTATTTGAGCATCATGGATTTTAACCCAGGCCAAAAGAAATTGCGCAACACACGATGATATGTCTTTTTAACACCGAGGTGGCCAGCTAAGCTGGAGTCATGTGCCAGACTCAAAATTTGCGCTCGATAGTCTGTTGGCACAACCACCTGATTAACAACGGGTATCTCCCTGGAGTCGGGACTCCACCGTCTCATCAAGACACCGTTGTCCAAGAAAAACACACAAGTCTGGCTGTCGTCCTCGGCGGCTACAACAGAGGACAGACACAAATGTAGAGACGGATCATTTCTCTGAGCATTTATCAACATCTCTCGGGTCACGTTTAAACTCAAGTCTGCGTCAGCAGGAAACACATCAGGCTCAGAGACACATTTTGATACATTTTCACACTCAGTAGCGGGGGACACTGAAAAGGAGGGCTCACCCTCATCTAATGTAGCCATAAACGAGTCAGATAAATCCCCAGCTTTACCCCATTTACGAGCCTGTGCGCGCGTAACTGCGCACACAGGAAACACATCTGGCACAGACACAGCAGAAGAAACAGAGGTGGGGCAGCAGGCAGACGCAACCGAAATGGGATCGTTAACGACCTCTGGCAGAGGAAACACATTTCCTCCGGCCAGATCGTTACCCAAAATAAACGAAATGCCACTAATCGGAAACCGTGGGAGCACGGCAACTTTCACACGCCCCGACGCGAGCGGTGAATACAAGTGAATCATGTGAAGTGGGGCGTTAAGTTCGCTCATTTTAATTCCCCACACTAACAAATCAGAGAAACATGAAGTTTCATTTGAGAGTGGCAGAACACTAGCCAGAATGAATGAATGATAGGCGGCTGTATCTCGGAGAATAGTTACCGGTACTTTATCCGCTTCCTCGCCAGTTACAGAAACAAATCCTTGTGAAACGAACGGTTTGAAACGAGGGTCAACCTCCACATTTACCTCGGCTTCAGGTAAAGACTCCGGGAGTGTTACAGGCGGGGACACGGTGTTAATGAAACCCACACCTGCAGGAGGTTTACCGTTTTTGTGTTGTCCTTTTTTCCTAAGAGTCGGACATGCAGCGATCAAATGGCCTGGCTCGTGGCAATAAAAACACTTGCGGCTCTCACCCGCAGCTGGTGAGGTGCTTTTACGCATCAGCTTTGGCGATCGGTTTCTGCGCTCAGATATTGGATGTAAAACACGAGGGGTTGGCAAAGAAAAAACGCTTTTATGAGTCAAAATGAACTCATCGGCGAGCACAGCTGCTTTCGTTACCGATGACTCCTTTTGCTCATTCAAATATACGACAATTCGCTCCGGCAAACACTTTTTAAATTCCTCGAGCAAAATGAGCTCTCTCATTTCCGCCATAGTTTTAATATTACACGCGTGGCACCATTTATCAAACAGAACGCTCTTGTCACGCACAAATTCAACATAGGTCTGGTTGGAAGTTTTCACACTATTTCTAAATTTTTGCCGATAGGCTTCAGGGACCAGCTCGTAGGCCTGCAACACAGTCTTTTTCAAGACATTATAATCCAGACTATCCTCAATGGACAGACTGGCACAGACTTCTTGAGCTTTCCCCACTAATTTACACTGGAGGAGAAGGGACCAGAACTCTTTAGGCCAACTCAGGGCAGCAGCTATCCGCTCGAAAGCGCTAAAATACGAGTCCACCTCGGACTCACGAAACGGAGGGACTAAAGCAATGTGCTTACTTATGTCAAAAGCGGGAGCAGAAACAGAGCTGCGGTCAACAGGAGGCACTGGGGTAGAGGCTGCAAAGGCTCCTTTTTCCAGCTCGAGAACCCTTAAGCGTAGATGCAAGTTTCGGGTCTCGGCCTCCTTTGCTTGTACCTCTAGCTGTTTGTTTCGGGTCTCTGCCTCCTTTATTTGGAGTGCTATGCGGAGATCCTCTGTGGTCATGGTACCCATGAGAGGATCCGTGACCGGCCCAAGTTCCGCACCAGCAGCGAGCGTGCCAGCAGCCCCCGCCGCTTTCACCTCAGCCCCCGGTGCGACACTAGCCACATCACCCGCAGCAACCGCATCAAGCGCTGGTTTAGGTAAGACGCCCTGCTCCACCAACTGTGCACACAGCAACTGTTTGAGCTCTGCTTTGTTGACATTGTATGGTACTTTTACATTAAAGAAATTTGCCACAATCAACAGGTCTGCTTTTTTACACTTTTCAATTTTAGCAACAGAGGGACTGGCCATAAAATCATCCAGTGAAAAATCCATAATTCCCCCCACACACAAAAAAAAAACTACCAACCAGAAAAATACATACTCACCGAAGAAAACGCGACAAGAAGACGGACGAGCCCCCAATTCATGTTACGCCCCAGTCTAGGGGTGCCTAGGGCACAACATGAAAAGGCCTCATCATCCCCAAGTCCCAAGTAGCCACAACAACCGAGATCCAGTTAAAGTTAAAGATAGAGATTTATTTACATAATTCAGGAAATAACAAAAGATAGACAAAAGAACTAAGGCTGGATAACTAGACTTCAGGGTGGACCAAGGCCAAAACAACAACCAAAAATAATCCTGTCTGAGTAGTAAGTCCTTCCCTAACCAAAACAAAGGAAACAAATGACAAAAGACTTACCTCCCTAACTAAAATACACAGGAGAAAATAATGTTAACAAAACTGGCAGTCCACCCCTACTACTGAAGGAAAACAGAACACAATACACCATAGTCTTTAAGCTGCAAAATAGGGTGGCCGGTTGGGAGAGGAGGAGGATGAGGAACGCCTGGCCTCTGCACATGGTGGCTGCCATCTTGGTTCTTGATATAGTTGGTCTCGGCCAATCACCATACAGGGCGTAGTCCATCCCACCAATGACCGCGTTGCTGTGGCACACACCTATTTGCATACAAGATTGACGCAGAGAAAACACAGAGCACACACACACCCAGCAGACACTCAACCAATTATGACCCCAGTCATAACACAGGTGTTAGAGGAGCCAAACAGTATCATCTCCTCTTGTAGTGGCTTGGGTGAAACGGACATTTACAGACACATAGATCTTACGCACTTACGCATCTTATGCAATCATTTAGCGTGTTTGCCTTCATGAATATGCAGAAGTTATGTAAATGACTGGTAATTTCTGGGAAATGACGGTTTTCATAAAAAAAAAGGTCAAACACAAAACAGATGAAAAAAATTATCTGTCCGTGTTATTGATTTTAATTTTTTTTTATCCATTTTTTTTAAATTTCTAGTATATCTTCTTTTATCTGTAAAGCACTTTGAGTTGCCTTGTGTATCAATTGTGCTATACAAATAAACTTGCAGTGCCATTTATGCAGTTCCCCAAAACGTTATGTACAACTCCATGGTTTCAAAAACTCTGCTCTCACTAACTCTCCATGGCGACAGCCGATAGTGCACGCAAAATCCTTGTTTAAGAGGACGGTCCGCACCACTTTTGCTCAATTTTTCAGTTTGCACACACAATTTAGCTTGCTCGCTATTTTGGATCTTAGTAGATCAGACCCTATAGCTTCAAGTTCAGATTGAACTTCAGCATCAGGAGCACCTCACTGAGATATAAGGTATTTAAAAAAAGCTTCATGTTATCCAAACTTTTTGTTGAAAATGTAAAATGTGCTTCAGATCATGCTTATCATCTGTTCCTGCCCCACTTTTTGCACCTCTGATGAACCACAGTACACAGACTTTAACTGAGTCAGGGAAACGACTGAAGACAGCAGACAGAGGAGCTCTGCACAAATGTCCCCGATCTGAGGCAGAGCTAGAAGTTTCATCAGTGAATAAAGGACATAGCCTTCAAAAAGATAAAAAGCTCTCTGTATATTCTGAGTTTAGGTGCATTTATATCATTACTCTCCTTTTCTATGGAGTAATGCATTTCTCCAAGAACATTGGGAATGGTTCCGTTTAAGAGGAGAGCATTCAGAGTCAAACTAGTTTGAAGTTATAAAATATGTTCAGAGACTGAATCGACTTCAGAGTCCACTTTCCAACAGAGTGTTAATTTTCATAAATAATCATTAGATCAAAAAGCTGGTTTTCTATCTGAAGACTGTCTTTAGTTGAAGCTTAGTATTTTAAAGTAAATCTCTTCTTATTCTTTAAAAATGTCAGAGTCTCTGTATTCAGCTGCTCGGGGACGTTAATTCCTGCGAATTGTTGCTGTTTGTTGGAAGCATCAACAGTTACAAGGACATTTCACTTCTTCAGATAGTCAGCAAGAACTTTCGCAATGAATACAGATATTTTCCAGAGGAAATCAAATGTTGTTTAAGGCTACTGTGGCACTAAAAGTCAGTGTAAAGTTCCTCCTTATCTCCAAAACATGTAACCAATGTAAATTATACTCTGCTCAGCTGTTCATCCGTCCATCACCATTTAATCATTTCAATCAGCCATCCATCTGAGTCATCATCCATCCACTCATCATCAATCCATCACTTCCACCCAACCATCCATTCATCCATCCATCCATCCATCCAGCCAGCCATCCATTTGTCATTAATTTATGGGATTTATGTACTTGTTATTCTTACAATCATAAGAGTTAACAAACAAGTTATTCACAAACTGATGTTTCTTTTTTATTTATTTTTGCTTTATTACAGCTGATCATGTTCCTGAGTGGCAAAATTCAACTGAGCTGTAGGCCACCAGTGAAATATTGAACAGGTTCTTGGTCCAGGGTTAAAAACCAGCACACACAGACACCTGATGTGTGACTCACCAAAAAAAAAAAGGTGAACCAAGTCCCTCCAGGCTGCCTGAGCTCATCTTTACTCAACAGGAAAGATGTGACTCAGCAGACAGCAGAACATCTGAGAGAAGGTCAGGGGGAGCTTCACAGTCCCACGGCTCCGACTCCACAAACACACACACACATACACAGAGTCCCAGTGGTACACAAACATATCAGTGGGCACAGGACAGGCCAAGAGACAGAAATATGTGTGTGCTCTGTCAGAAGCTGCACATCAGTGGATTTAGAGACTTCATCTGAGCTCTGTTGTTGTTTTTCTTCTGATCTCCACTGCACACATCACTGCTGCACGTCTGTAATGTCTTCATCACTCTCTTATCTGGGCCCGCAGTCTCTGCTGAGTCCTCCTCTGTCCTCTTTGGGTTTGTTTACAGTGTCAGTGATGTAACACTTCACAGAAACAAAATGCAACTTTTGATCTCCACTCAGCTCAGTGTTTTGTTATTCCTGCCCCTCATCTTCTTGTGGGGCGAGCAAGTGTCCTCTAACACTTGTGAGTGCTTGTCGTTTTTTTTTCATGTGCTGTCTCTGAAAGAGAAATCTGCCACTGTTAGCGTCCTCTGCAGAGAAAAATAAAACAACAAATATGGCGAGCATCTGACACGACACAAGCAGCTCCTCAGATGGAGCCAGTCTGGAAGATCATCTCTGATGGTTATCTGAGTTTCCCTAAAAGGTTTTTTGTTGCTTCCCAATTTGCCTCAGTTGATGTTGTTGTCAAACCATCTGTGCACTTCTGACTAGCTTTACCTTAAAAGACATGTTGTAGACCAAAGCTGAACTTTCTCAGGAGAATTGAATACAGCTCACATTCACAGAAATGCACAGCAGAGATGAGTTAGTGGGCAGTGATGCTGGTTTAGATGCAGAGGTTGGGTTTGAGTATCTGTGCATGAATACTGGACTATGCACTGTGGTTCTTACAGTAAGATACTGTTAGACAGCCCAACTCATAGACTTGAACTTATCCCTCATCAGGTCTTGTTCTGACTGTAAGTTTTCTGCTCTGCAGAGGTACAGACACATCCTGCAGACTCAGTCCAACAGCTGTCCTTAATCCTTTCAGCTCTGTTGTCCCTGCTGCTGTGCTGACTGTCAAACCCTCTCCTCCTTCACAATATAGCTCATGTTTATTCTGCATCTCATGTTTGTTTGGGGTTAATCATGCATGATATGAGTATAGGACTATATCTGCACCTTCCTTTTGGATGGCTTGTTCAACCTTTGTTTGTGAAGTGTTGTAATACATGTATTTTTTTGTTCTTCCTTTTTGTGTTTTGTAATTTTAATTATTAAACACTTTCTTTTACCCTCCCTGATTTTCCATCCAGCCTTGCCCAAAACTTTTCCTGCATTTGTCCTCCTACTTTCTCACCTTGTCTCCTCTGTTTGTCTTAGTCTTCCTCCTGCTCTTCATTTTGTTCCCGTCTCTGTTTTCGCTGTCACTGTCAGCCCTTTTACCTGTAAAACAAAGGCATCAATATTTCGCAAATGAGCTTTGTTGGAGTGTTGAAGCTGCTCTGATGAATCCTTTGTGTGCTGTAAATGTTCCTGCCAGCACGTGTGACTCAGAACACCATGACTGGATGTGACCCATGTCCTGGTCTCTTTTCCCTTGATGCCACTTTATGTGACACGCGATCTCTGGAAACAAGAAGCAGAAAGAAGCTGCTGGCAGCTGTGAAATCGAGAGAAAAGACGAGATGAAGAGAGAAGATGGAGAGGTGATGATAGTGATAATTAGACATTGTTGGTGTTCCCGCTCTCTGGTTTAACATGTTAAACATGAAAACAGTACCTGATAACATCATGATCTTTACAATGAACTCAAATAACTGTGAGAGGCAGAGCAGCTACAGGGGAGGAAGATTTAAATGATAAAGAAACGGGCAAATATTGGGTTAAATCCACTGTGTTTTTGGTGTGTGGCAGTGCAGCTATACAGATGAATATACAAAATTTATGACCTGACTGGAAGAGAAGGAGTCCCCTTACATATCAGCAGATTGGTTTGTTCATACTTTCAAAATAACTTCCTCTCTGACCTGAAGAGTTGACAATCATGGGCGTGGCTCACTACATCACAAAAGCCATGTCCATAAATTACACATATATGAAATGTGCCATTGCCCCACCGGGCTTCTGTATACTTGGTTTGATGACTCGACAAGTATTTTAAGGCCTTCAAAATTCAACTTCCTGTGTGATGGCAACCACAGCGCCGCCATGGCAACAGTGTTTCACACAAACTTATGTGCTCTGTGTGAGAGTGAGGTAAAGGTCTTAGGATGTACAAGAGGATTTTTGAGGGGGATTCACGGTTCCCTGACAACTCAGTTTTTTGGCACACATCAACATGAACATCTTAAGGATGTATCCTTAGAAGGTACAGTACAGATAAGGTAAATAAAATCCAGCTTGTGTAGTGACACCATCAAATTCCCAATTGCTATCAAGAGGCACCCTTCAGGCCTTGAAACTTCACTTTGGTACTTCTTCATGGCCAAGTCTTCTGACTTTTTCCTTGTTGAGGTCTCTTCAACCTTTAAACCTACAATCTAACAGATCAGATAAATACTACATAGTTCCTCCTGTCCACTGTCACTGGATAAATGCTGTAATGAGTTTTACTCATAGTGGGATCTGAGTGGGTCTGCTCTAAAAGGATGGGGCTCAGTCTGATCCTGTCTCAACATCGGGTCTATATAAATAAAATATGATCTATTTTGTTAAGTGTCTTGGGGTCACACTTGTGAATTGTCACAATGTAAAAAAAAAAAAAAAAGTGGTTGATTGACAAATTTTTAAACAGACCTGCAAACTTTTATGACTGTTTGAGAATTTTAAACATCAGACATGTAATAATAATAATAATAATAATAATAATAATAATGATAATAATAATCTTAGGCTCTTCAGTTAGGTCCCTCCACCACTTGGTGCTGGGCCCTGATAGATCTTTTTATTCTTCGGCTATAGTCATAAATCCTCTTCGGATCTGTGTTTTCTGCCAGCTTTTCTCTGTCTATTTCATTGCCTGGCAATAAGCAGGATAATTTATAGTGAACAGGTGGTAATGCAAATAAGAGTCTCAGTCAAGCGAGTGACAGAAATGTGATAAGTGGCAATAAAACCTTTGACTAAATATATCACATGCTGATGAATTTAGAGGCAATGCATGGACATTTGTGTCTGTGACTTTTTATTGACCTTCATGAAATGTCAAATATGAGTGTGAAAAAACCTGAGTCCAAATGAAAAGTTAAACAATGGATCAAATCAGTTCTGATGGTATGAAAGGGCAGATTTAACCCATTTAAACTGGGACAGCATGTCTGCATTTCAACCTTCCGGCTGCACATTTCTACTCAAAAAGCCGGGTGCATGTACGCATCTCTACCCTTAAAGCCGGGAAAAGCGTGTACGCATATCAACCTTCCAAGCCGGGTGCGCTGATACGTCTTTTCGTAACATTCTGTAGTCTTTCAATCATTTCTGATAGGCTAATAAGGCTTAATAAAGCAATCGGATTCATGCTCGGATGTTGTTACGTGCTTCAAGAGTAAAGTAAACAATGATGGAGGCAGAAAGCAGCTTTGGAGGAGAAGCATCCAGCAGTGTGAAAAACCTCTTCATATGGAGTGCTTTGGCTCACACTATCAGCATTTTCTGTGAGTGTTGCATGACTTTGGGTGAGCACAGAGATGAACACACTGCCAGCCATGTATTTATTTATTTATTTTTTGTTTTTTAGTGCTGCTTTTGTACTGGCACTATACTGGGGCAGCTGTATACCCTTTCAACACTTTATTTGTTTTACAGAAACTTGTTTTACAGAAAGCAAATAGTTGGTTATTCTCCAGTGCAGAGTCTACTTTTACTTATACAGCCGCTTTATTTAATTTGAGTTTGTTTGTTCAAGGTTTTCAAAAATGTGATGAAGGTTCAGAAAAAGATAGTGATCTTGAAAGCCAACTGTATAAGCTCTCAAATACCTTTTGAATTTTGTTTCTATCTGCTACA